TTCGTCATGTTGGCCAGGCTGGTCTCAAACTCCTGACCTCAGGCAATCTGCCTGCCTCAACCTCCCAAAGTGCTGGGATGACAGGTGTGAGCCACCGCACAGGCCTAATGAAGGTAAAGATCTTGAGATGAGATCATCCTGGATCTGGGTGGGCCCTAAATCCAGTTGTCTTCACAAGGCACAGAGACACAGAGAGAAGACAGCCACATGGAGACAGAGGCAGAGGCTGGAGGGATGTGGCCACGAGCCGAGGACCCCTGGAGCCCCCAGGAGCTGGTCGAGGTAGGCAGGGTCCTCCCCTAGAGCCCTCGGAGGCAGCCAGCTCTGCCCACACTTTGACTTCAGACTTCTGGGCTCCAGAACTGCAAGAGAGGACATTTCTGTGGCTTTAAGCCACCAAGTCTGTTGCGTTCTGTAAGAGCTGCTGTGGGGAAACAAGCACAGGTGTTTATTTTACTGTTTGGGTGATAAGCAGAGTCTTTGGAGAATTCTGAGCAGGGGAGGAACTTTTGATGATATCTTCTTTTTTCTCTCTCTCTCTTTTTTTTTGTTTGAGACGGAATCTCGCTCTGTGGCCAGGCTGGAGTGCAGTGGCACCATCTTGGCTCACTGCTGCCTCCAACTCCTGGGTTCAGGTGATTCTCCTGCCTCAGCCTCCCAAGTAGCTGGGACTAAAGGCACCGGCCACCATGCCCGGGTAATTTTTGTATTTTTAGTAGACATGGGGTTTACCATGTTGGCCAAGCTGGTCTCAAACTCCTGACCTCAGGTGATCTGCTCGCCTCAGCCTCCCAAAGTGCTGGGATTATGAGCCATGGCGCCCGGCCTAAAAATTACATTCTTAATACTTTTTTTTTTGAGACAGAGTCTCACTCTTGTCGCCCAGGCTGGAGTGCAATGGCATGATCTCGGCTCACTGCAACCTCTGCCTCCCAGGTTTAAGCCATTTTCCCGCTCAGCCTCCTGAGTAGCTGGGATTACAGGCATGCGCCACCACACCCAGCTAATTTTTGTATTTTTGTAGAGATCACGTTTCACCATGTTGGCCAGGCTGGTCTTGAACTCCTGACCTCAGGTGATCCACCCGCCTCGGCCTCCCAAAGTGCTGGGATTTGTACAGGCGTGAGCCATCTCCCCTGACCATAAAAAATATTTTTAAAAAGTGAGCAAACAATTTGAACAGATATCAATAATGCCGATATATGGATGACAAAAAAGATGAGAAAACGCTAATTACTCATCGGGGAGACGTCGATGAGGAGCACAGGGCAGACTCTGCACACCCCCCAGGATGACGGAATGCCCGCGGTCCTGCCCGGGCCATCAGCGGAGAAGCCATCGTTGGAATCTGGACTCCATTCTGCGGGAGACACTCAGCAGCTAACAGAAGCCACCAGTGCCCACAGCGCCGGGTTGAGTCTCAGAATAATGATGCCAGGCTGGGCGCGGTGGCTTACGCCTGCAATCCCAGCACTTTGGGAGGCTGAGGCAGGAGGATCAAGAGGTCAGGAGGTCAAGACCATCCTGGCTAACACGATGAAACCCTGTCTCTACTAAAAATACAAAAAATATGTATATGTATATTAGCCAAGCATAGGGGTCGGCGCCTGTAGTCCCAGCTACTCGGGAGGCTGAGGTAGGAGAATGGCGTGAACCTGGGAGGCAGAGCTTGCAGTGAGCCGAGATGGCGCCACTGCACTCCAGTCTGGGCGACAGAGCAAGACTCCGTCTCAAAAAAAAAAAAAAAAAAAAATGACACTGGGTGCAGCCAGCCAGGAAGCGCGCCCCGTGGGCTTTCATTCACACAGACCCCAGAAGAGCCAACAGCGCCTCTCCAGGGACAGAAAGTGGCGCCCTGGCGGCCTGGAGACAAGGCAGGGGCGGTTTGGGAATGTTCGTTACAGGGTTGGAAGGGATGGGGGATGGGGCCACAGGTGCGTGCGAATGTCGCGAATGTCAGCACGCAGCAGTCTGCACTCGTTCCACCCTTTACACCCCTGCAGTTTATCAGACGCCAATCATAACTCAAAACAGCTGTTTCAAAAAGAGGAGGGGAGAGGGAGGAGGAAGGCAAAGAGGTAGAGGAGGGGGAGGAAGAGGAAGAGGGGAAGGAGGAGAAGGAGAAAAAGAAGAGGGAGGAGGAGGTAGTCAAGGTTGACTCCTGAGTTGTACAGAAAGAGAAGGATAAGGAGGAGGAGAAGCAGGAGGAGGAGAAGCAGGAGGAGGAGGAGCACGAGGAGGAGGAGGAGGAGGAGGAGGAGGGGGAGGAGGAGGAGGGGGAGGAGGTGGTCAAGGTTGGCTCCTGAGCTTTAAGAGAAAGAGGAAAAGGAGAAGGAGGAGCAGCGGGAGGAGGGAGAGGAGGTGGTCAAGGTTGACTCAGGAGGAGGAGGAGGTCGTCAAGGTTGACCCTGAGGTTCTGGCCTGGGCCTGGGTGAGGGCATTTGCCGAAGGCATAGGCCCCGCATGCAGGGGCGGCGATGCTGGTCAGAGGGTAAGGAGAGACAAGTGGCAGGGCAGAGGAAGCTCCCTGCAGGCTGCTCCTATTCAGGTGACAGGAGGAGGAAGCATTACCCCATCGGATCTCCCCTCCACCTTAGAGAGTTACCCTGAGGGACAGATTGAGAAACGGCGGAGGCATGAAGCTGCACAGCCCCGGTCTGGTGTCCGGCAGGGATCTACAGTTGACCGGCCTCTCCTCCCATGGGCACCATGGACATCTCCTTCCGGACTTGCTGCCCACACAGCACAGGGTGCAGGGCCCTGGAGCCCCTGGGGTCATGGGAGGGGGAGGAGGAGGAGGGGGAGGAGGTGGTCAAGGTTGGCTCCTGAGCTTTAAGAGAAAGAGGAAAAGGAGAAGGAGGAGCAGCGGGAGGAGGGAGAGGAGGTGGTCAAGGTTGACTCAGGAGGAGGAGGAGGTCGTCAAGGTTGACCCTGAGGTTCTGGCCTGGGCCTGGGTGAGGGCATTTGCCGAAGGCATAGGCCCCGCATGCAGGGGCGGCGATGCTGGTCAGAGGGTAAGGAGAGACAAGTGGCAGGGCAGAGGAAGCTCCCTGCAGGCTGCTCCTATTCAGGTGACAGGAGGAGGAAGCATTACCCCATCGGATCTCCCCTCCACCTTAGAGAGTTACCCTGAGGGACAGATTGAGAAACGGCGGAGGCATGAAGCTGCACAGCCCCGGTCTGGTGTCCGGCAGGGATCTACGGTTGACCGGCCTCTCCTCCCATGGGCACCATGGACATCTCCTTCCGGACTTGCTGCCCACACAGCACAGGGTGCAGGGCCCTGGAGCCCCTGGGGTCATGCAGGGACCCGGCTGATGCCCGCAGCAGTGGGAAGAGACCGCGGAGGGTCACACAGCAGTTCTCAAGCTGCAGCCTGGGGCCATGAGCCTCACTGAGGCCACGGTCGAATGGCCACACCCAACTTCAGGGACACAGGGAGACCATCTCCGCCTTGCCGTCTCTGGGTGGGGAGATGGGACACACCAGGCAGGCGGCACTCACGACTCCCTCAGTGGGGGGACAGAGTTCAAGTCAGTGCCCTGCTGGGAACAGATCTCAAAAATGTGGTTAAGTGGCAAAAGCCAGGCGTAGAAAAGAGGAGCCGTGTGCTACCTGCAGGGTGACAAGGCAGAGGTCGGCACACGGGTGGCTGCCTGAACGCACACGGACAAGCCGGGAAGAGGGACACAAATCAGAACAGAGGCTGACTCCAGGGGAAGGGACCGACTGCTCAGGGGTCGGGGGAGACCCTTTGACTGGATGATTCCCCTGCCTTTTTTTTTTTTAGACAGGGTCTTGCTCTGTTGCCCAGGCTGGAGTGTAGTGGCACCATCATAGCTCACTGCAGCCTTGACCTCCCGGGGTGAAGAGGTCCTCCTGCCTCAGCCTCTTGAGTAGCTGGGGCATAGGCAGGCACAACTATGCCTGGATAATTTATTTTTGATTTTTTTGTAGAGATAAAGTCTCACTATGTTGCCCAGGCTGGTCTCACACGCCTAGGTTCAAGTGGTCCTCCCACTTTGGCCTCCCAAAGGGCTGGGATTAGAGGTTCATGCCACCATGCCCAGCTAATTATTATTATTTTTTTGTACAGGTGGAGTCTTGCTATGTTGCCCAGGCTGGTCTCCAACTCACCTGATCCTCCTGCCTTGGTCTCTCAAAGTGCTGAGATTACAGGTGTGAGCACCACACCTGGCAACTGTATAATCTTTTGTATCTTTTGATTTTTGTTCCCATCAGTGTTTCTATTAAAAAAAAAAAAAAAAAAAAGGGGGGGGGGGGGGTGCGGGGCGGGTGCAGTAATCCCAGCACTTTGGGAGGCCAAGGCGGGTGGATCACCTGAGGTCAGGAGTTCAAGACCAGCCTGGCCAACATGGTGAAACCCTATCTCTACTAAAAATACAAAAAAATTAGCCAGACGTGGTGGCGGGCGCCTGTAATCCCAGCTACTCGGGAGACTGAGGCAGGAGAATCGCTTGAACCCGGGGGGTGGAGGTTGCAGTGAGCCGAGATTGCGCCACTGCCCTCCAGCCTGGGCAACAGAGACAGACTCCGGGTCAAAAAAAAAAAAAAGGAAAGAAAAGAAAAAGGAAAGTGTGAATTTTGTGGAACACGAGTTCCATCTCAATAAAGCTGCTATTATTTTTTGAGACAGAGTCCCTCCCCGGGGGCCCCTCGGGCTGCGCCCCCTCACCAGTGCCTCCGCCCCGGCCGTCCCCGCCCCCCGGGACGTGCAGAACCCGCCGCTTGACGCATCCGCGGATCCCTGACGCCGCCCCTCCCCGCCGTGCGTCCTGGAGTGTGTCCCTTCGCAACGCCAGCACCACCTGTGCATGGAGATGCCAGCGCCTGCCCCGCGCTGCGGAGCCACCTGGACCAGACCACGTGCGCGCGGGACCCGCCACTCCCGCCGCCAGAGGGCGCTGCAGGCATCAGGCTGGCGCCGCGAGCCTCTCGCACCTCCCCCTGGGCCCGCTTCCCGCCGCACTATTTTGCTTCCGGTTGTTCCGGAAGTCGGGTCCTTGAGTGCGGCGAGATCCGTTTCCGATTCCGGGGTGGCCGGGTGGCGGCGGCTGGGCTGTAGTCGCCATGGGCCACAGGTAAGTGAGCCGCGGCCTGGGCGCGCTGTCATTGCCAGGCGAGCGCCTGGTTCTCCCGGCTACCCCGCCCGGCCTCGGGGCCGTCCTTCATGGTTCTGCCCCCTCCAGCCCGGCGTCCGCGCCGCCTGCTGCCACCCGACTGAGCCGCTCCCGGGCGGCTGGGAGGCGGGGTCCCTGCAGCTCCTGCAGCATCGCCCCTCCGGGCGGGCGCGGGGCCACTGTCCCCGGGTCCCACGCCCAAGCCCCGTGCGGTAAGGGAGCGAATAAGCGAGCGAGCGAATGAATGAATGAATGAATGACCGCACGCTGGCTCCTCCGCAGGTGACGCCGCAGCCGCCGGGAGCAGCGAGGGACGCGGCAAGATGAACCGGGCCAAGCCCACCGCGGTGCGCAGGCCCAGCGCCGCGGCGAAACCCTCAGGTGCGTCTCTCTCCCCGCTCTGCAACCCGGGGGTCTTTGAGGGTCTTCGGGGATCTCAACTGCCCCGGAGTCTGCCTTCGGCTTGGTTGTTCCGCAGCCGCGGCTGTTTCCAGGAATTGGATCTGGAAACACTGCTCTCGGTCCTCAGCGGCTATGAGAGTCCCTGGGAGGCTTGGGACAGCGGCGACTTCCTCCGGGACCCCGGTGATCTCGTTTCAGGCTGAGCTGCAAGGCGGCTGACAGTAGTGGAAGGGTCTCCCCAGCCAGGAGGCAGGAGGGAGCACAGTGTAGGGTAGCACGGGGTCTGCAGCCAGACTGTCAGCTCAGATCCTCCGGGCTTAAAGCTGCCACTCACCTGCTGTGTAACACTGCACACATTGCTTAACCTCTCTGTGTCCCTTTCTCCCCTGTAAAGTTAGGGTAATGGCACCTATTGCGGAAACTTGGGCGGGGCAGGGGGACTAAGCACACTGTTTCAGATAGACTAGAGATGGCCTGGTTTGTGGTTAGCGCTATGTGACTGTCCACCGTCACTTGTGCATATCTTGCTGGTGCCTGCTCAGCTGTTGGCTGCTGAGTGAGCTCTGGCTTCTTCCTTGCCTTCTCTGACCGTTGTTTAATCCCCTCTGACATAACAGGAGGTTGGAGTCAGTCTTTTTCCACCTTAGGTGTTGCGAATGTACCTGGTTTTCTCTCTGCTTTCTCTGCAGGGCACCCTCCCCCGGGAGACTTCATTGCTCTGGGCTCAAAGGGTCAGGCCAACGAATCGAAAACAGCATCCACCCTGCTGAAGCCAGCCCCTTCCGGCCTGCCTTCTGAGCGCAAGCGGGATGCGGCGGCTGCATTGTCCAGTGCCTCGGCCCTCACCGGTCTCACCAAACGCCCCAAACTCTCCTCCACACCCCCACTGAGTGCCCTGGGGCGCCTGGCTGAGGCTGCAGTGGCAGAAAAACGAGCCATTTCTCCGTCGATTAAAGAGCCATCTGTGGTGCCAATTGAAGGTAATGAGTCTGTGGACTTCTCCTGAGAACACCCCTTAGCACATCCATCCATCAGATGTTCAGGGAAGGCCCCCTCCAGGCCTAGCGCTGCCCGTATGGCCGACCTCCTCTGGGAGAGCAGATGTTTGTGACTTGTTCTTTGAAGTGCTTCTCATGTAGGTGCCCTTACCCTGTGTGTGCGTCTGCGTCCTGAACTGTCAGTGGCTGCCCTTCGAGAGCCGGGTCACTCCCCCGTTGAGTTGTTCGTCTCATGTCTCTGTTGGACGCTCCCTTTGTGATGGGCACTGTCTGAGCCCTGGGGGTAAACTGGGCCTGGTGACACCCCAGGTGTGTGTTCTCAAAGTCGCGCACTCTGGTGCGTTCCTCTGTCAACCTGAGTGGAGGCGATATGTACTTGGTTCCTCCTTCCCTCCTGGTTACCAACAGGGAAGAGTTCATCCGTTCCCTGTTTTCAGTTGAAAAGCAGCAGAACAGTAAATACATCAACAGGAAATGTAAATTTCACAATTAGTTTCTCACAGAAATGCCTTTAACTGTGTGCCTAGAATCGCCCCTGCTCCTCTGCACCATTTTCCCAACGACCATCTTTCAAAAGGCTCCATGACTTCCTGGGAGTCACTCTGGCAGCTGTCACACCAGCCCCAGCAAGCCTCGTGGTCTGCAGTATTTTGTTTCTGTGGGAGCATTTCTTTTGGGTAATTTCTTTGTGGTAGTCAAAAAGAACAAGCGTCCTGATGACTTTGGTAGTGAGGTGTCTGTTCAAGCCACGCCACCTCTGATTGCTGAGTTTTGTGCCAGACAGGGCCCAGGGGACTTGTGGGCTGTGGGCTGTGGCCTTGCCGTCTGAGGGATCAGGCTGCTGCAGTGCAAGCCTGTGAGTGAGTCCCTGACGGCCCTGGGACGGAGGAGGCCTGGCAGGGAGTTGCAGTGTGGGCTCAGGCCTGGAAGCACAGGCAATGAAACTGGGGCAGTCAGGAAAGGGAGGTGCCAAGCAGACAATGGACCGTGCCCAGGGAATGGAGGCCTGGCCTGGGCAGCACACGCTAGTGATAGCCAAGGCTGGACGCTGTGGGCAGTGTTTGTCCTGGACTCATTTGGCATCAGGGAGCCCTGGGGGCAAACAGCCCAGGATGGCACAGCTGGGGGGGCTGCTTTAGGAGGTCGAGTCTCAGACGTCCCATGAGGCGTGTCACTGGGCAGCTGGTGCCAGTGAGGATCGAGGACAGAGACCACAGGCCCCACCCCGGCCCGGGTTCTCGGCCTCCGGCTGCTGGGTGTTTTATTTATCTATTTATTTATTTTTATCACCACTTCCCGTAGAAAGGAGATTTTGAAGATGACAGGAGATGTGGTTGTGAAAAGCATATTCTGAGTGGTAGATCGCTTTACAATATTATTCTCGCAAAACAGAGAGATGGCTGCTTCCAGCCATTTGTGGTATCTCTCCCAGGCCGTTCCTCCGTGCTGGCAGCCCACTTCTCCCCCCTGCTTATCTCAGGGCATTAGGAAATTTCTTTCAAGTCTTTGTCCCAGGTGCAGTTAAGGTGGATTACAATGCCTCTGTCCACATGTCTGTGTGGATATTTACTTTTTATTTATTTTTATTTACTTTTTTTTGAGACGGAGTCTTGCTTTGTAGCCCAGGTTGGAGTGCAGTGGCGCAATCTCGGCTCACTGCAAGCTCCGCCTCCCGGGTTCACGCCATTTTCCTGCCTCAGCCTCCCAAGTAGCTGGGACTATAGGCACCCGCCACCATACCCGGCTAATTTTGTGTATTTTTAGTAGAGACAGGGTTTCACTGTGTTAGCCAGGATGGTCTCGATCTCCCGGCCTCGTGATCCACCTGTCTTGGCCTCCCAAAGTGTTGGGATTACAGGCGTGAGCCACCGTGCCCGGCTTATGTATTTATTTTTTGAGACGAAATGTTGCACTGTCCCCAGGCTGGAGTGCAGTGGCACGATCTCGGCTCACTTAAGCCTCCGTCTCCCAGGTTCAAGTGATTCTCCTGCCTTAGCCTCCGAAGTAGCTGGGATTACAGGCATGCACCCCCATGCCTGGCTAACGTGTATTTTTAGTAGAGACAGGGTTTCACTGTATTGGCCAGGCTGGTCTCGAATCCCTGACCTCAGATGATCCACCCGCCTCAGCCTCCCAAAATGGCAGGATTACAGGCGCGAGCCGCCGTGCCCGGCTGTGTGTGGATATTTAAAACACAGTCCTAAAAAAACTCCTGGGTCAGAGAAGAATCAGAATGAAAATGAGAAAACCTCCGATCCAACAGTGGCAGACAAGAGGAGAGGAAAGGTGTGTGCTGGCCCTGGTACTCCTCGGAGGTTGTGGGAGGGTCAGGCACTCGTCTGGAGGAAGGTTGTGAGTCGAGCACCCATGGAAAGAGGGGGGAAAAGGGGAGAAGAGCATGCTGGAGACTGGAGCCGGGGCAGGTGCGAAGAGAGGGCTGCTGTGCCGTGGTCCACAGTGGAAAGTATTCAGTGGAGCCGTGATTCAGTGGAAAGTAAGGCTGCAGGTTGCCTGACTTGCTGGGAAATGTCTGTAGCCTTCGGGGTAGCCATATGGGACACAGTGGAGCCAGGACTGGAGTGGCTGTAGGGCCAGTGCTGAGGCCTGTGGGGCAGCCTGTTGTGTTGAGGGGACCATCTGGTGGGGTGCTTGTCCCCTGTGGGAACTCTCCTGAGGGTGGATGGCTGGTCCATGGCAACGTCGACCCTGAGAGCTCCGGGTTCCTCGTGGTCTTACCGGTATCCCAAGGCTTTGGGGTGACCCTGCCCTGTCCCTGCTCTGACTGTACCACCTGCCCTGGCCAGTGCTGCCCACGGTGCTGCTGGACGAGATCGAGGCGGCCGAGCTGGAAGGCAACGACGACAGGATCGAGGGCGTGCTGTGCGGGGCCGTGAAACAGCTGAAGGTCACCCGCGCCAAGCCCGACAGCACCCTCTACCTGAGCCTCATGTACCTGGCCAAGATCAAGCCCAACATCTTTGCCACCGAGGGCGTCATCGAGGTGCGAGCCGGGCCCCTGGCGGGAGGCGAGTAGGGCTGGGGCCCTCGGCTCCCCTCCTCACCTCCCCCTTCAGTGTCCTGCCCGGCCCACCCCAGCTTTGCCTCTGGGGCCAGCAAGGCTCCCATGTGACATGCACCCTCCCTGGCAGGCTCTGTGCAGCCTCCTGCGGCGGGACGCCTCCATCAACTTCAAGGCCAAGGGGAACAGCCTGGTGTCCGTGCTGGCCTGTAACCTCCTCATGGCCGCCTACGAGGAGGACGAGAACTGGCCCGAGATCTTTGTCAAGGTGAGTGGCCTCACCCCAGACGGTGAAGACAGCAGAGGGCCATGGGCGGGGCGGGGGCGGGAGAAAAGCAGGAGGGTGTTCTCTCCAGAGGACTGTGTCTGACAGCCCCGATGGTCATGGCACAGTCCCCTCTGCACCCAGAAGCTGCAGAGGGCTGCCTGGGCGCCCAGTCCCTGGGCCGCAGGCAGACATTCTCCAGCCTGGCTGCCCTGCTGGGCTCGGGGCTGAGGGTGTGGCTCCCACACAGGTGTACATTGAGGACTCCCTGGGGGAGCGGATCTGGGTGGACAGCCCTCACTGTAAGACATTTGTGGACAACATCCAGACGGCCTTCAACACCAGAATGCCCCCCAGGAGTGTGCTGCTGCAGGGGGAGGCGGGCCGCGGCGCTGGCGACCTGGGCGCGGGTGAGAGACACTGCCGGCTGGGGAGGGCGGGTGTCCAGCCCCAGGGCAGGGGAGGGTTGGGAGTTCAGGCGGGTGGGAGGCGCTGCATGGAGCCCTCTCCTTGGTCTGCAGGGAGCAGCCCACACCCCTCCCTCACGGAGGAGGAGGACAGCCAGACAGAGCTGCTGATCGCAGAGGAGAAACTGAGCCCCGAGCAGGAGGGCCAGCTCATGCCCAGGTAGCTGCGTGCCCGCCTGGTCCCAGTGGGAGGTGGTTGGGACAGGTGCCTCGGGGCCGCCTTCCTCCTTCCCTGCTCCCTTCTCTGACCTAGGTACGAAGAGCTCGCGGAGAGTGTGGAGGAGTACGTCCTGGACATGCTGCGGGACCAGCTGAACCGGCGCCAGCCCATTGACAACGTCTCCAGGAACCTCCTGCGGCTCCTCACCTCCACCTGCGGCTACAAGGAGGTGCGGCTGCTGGCGGTGCAGAAGCTGGAGATGTGGCTGCAGAACCCCAAGGTGCGGGGGTGCCTGGGGCAGGGTCGCGGGGGTGGTGGGGCAGGAGTGCCCGGCAGGGGGTGGGGGCAGGCTCCGTGTGGTCCCACAGCCGGGGTGGCCGTGAGCCCACAGCTCCCTCCGCGGCCCCGCAGCTGACCCGGCCGGCCCAGGACCTGCTGATGTCCGTCTGTATGAACTGCAACACGCATGGTTCTGAAGACATGGATGTCATCTCACATTTGATCAAGATCCGCCTCAAGCCCAAAGTCCTCCTCAACCACTTCATGCTGTGCATCAGGTGCGAGGCGGGCAGGGGTGGAGCGGCGGGCAGGGGCGGAACGGGGGTGCGGGGGGAACGGGGTGAGGGGCGGAGCGGGGGTACGGGCGGAGTGGGGTGCCAGGCAGAGCAGGGGTGTGGGCAAAGTGGCGGGCAGGGGCAGAGCGGGGGTGCAGGCAGAGCGGGGACGGGGCCTGCACCCTCACCTGCCTGGCTCCCACACCCAGGGAGCTGCTGAGTGCGCACAAGGACAACCTGGGCAGCACCATCAAGCTGGTGATCTTCAATGAGCTCTCCAGCGCCCGGAACCCCAACAACATGCAGGTTCTCTACACCGCGCTGCAGCACAGCTCTGACCTGGCGCCCAAGGTAGGCCTAGGCCTTGCCCTCCACACCTGAATGGGGGGCTACGGGCTGGAGAGACACCTGGTGTCTGGGGAAGCCCACGGATTGGTGGGGCTTTGTGGGAGAATGCTCTTGGGGCTCGGGAAGGAGCTTTTGAAACTCACTTGGGCATGAGGTTGACCATTTCTAGAGTGGGTGCAGCCACAGTGCCCAGCATCTTTCTCAGAAACCGACACTCTGTCCATTTAGGAGGGAGCCACACTGAGCCTTAAAAGCCACCCAGGTTTCTGAGCTAAGACCCAGACCTGCCAGCTTGTATTTTTATTTCTCAAGCTCATTCCGACCTTTGGATAATAAGGTGGTTTTTAAAATTTTTTGTAGAGATGGAGTCTTATTACGTGGCCCAGGCTGGCCTCAAACTCCTAGGCTCAAGTGGTCCTCCTGCGTCAGCCTCCCAAAGCGCTGGGATGACAGGCGTGAGCCCCTGTGCCTGGCCCAGACCTGCCTTCTGTGCAGTGGGTCCCTCAGTTAAGCAGGAGTCCCTGTAGCCCTGGCTGTAGGACCCTTGGATTCCCGTGTGTCCTTTGAAGCGGACTGGGGAGATGCTCCCGTTGCCACTAGCACGTCAGGCCTCGCGGTGGGCTCTGCGGCATGCGAAACACGAGGGAGGCAGGCACGGCCGCTCCAGCTCCGCGCTGTCATCTTTGCAACCCAGCATTTTGAGATGGGGGTGCATCCTTTCAGATCTCGGGTGGTGGTCTTTGGTTTCTGTTCAGCCTGTGGCGTGTGGTTGGGCTGAGATGGCACACGCACTTCTATGACTCTGCCGCTTGGTGTCCCACACCCCCAGCGTCTGTTAATTAATCCTTCTCCTCATTTCATGAGGACCAACTCCCCACGTGCCGGTTGCCGAGAGGGGAATCAGATGTGGCCCCTGCTTGCCAAGGGCTGGCAGCCAGTAGAGCAAGGAGCCCGCCACCCCATGCCCCGCACTGCCTGAGACCCGCTGCAGCATCCTCGGGCACCACCCCCACGGGTGCTGTGGGAAGGAGCCGGGGCCTGTGCTCCTGGAGGGGCCTGTGACGGGGTCGGCAGCGTTGGGCAGCCTCCCACACAGTCTCTCTCTGCCCCAGTTCCTGGCCATGGTGTTCCAGGACCTGCTGACCAACAAGGACGACTACCTGCGGGCCTCGCGGGCCCTGCTGCGGGAGATCATCAAGCAGACCAAGCACGAGATCAACTTCCAGGCCTTCTGCCTGGGGCTCATGCAGGAGCGCAAGGAGCCACAATACCTGGAGATGGAGTTCAAGGTGCCAGCCCCTGCCGCTGGGGCGCCTTTCCCTCACTGCGGGTCCCACGTGCCACCATCCCCCTCGCCCTGGGTCCCACGCACATTCCGCCCCTTCGGGTGCTCTGGCTGAGCGTGGGTACGGGGCTGAGTGAGGCTATTTGCAGCCATGCATCCCAGAGGGTAGCATGGGCTCCGTCCTGTGTGAGGACCCAGGGTGGGCTGACTAGGTGCGGGGGAACCGGCAACCCCTGGGCTGGGTGGGACGGATTGCTGCCGGGAGGAAGGTGAGTGTGTGGGCAGGGAGGCAGGGCGGGGCCGCAGGCTGCCTGGCTGGGTTGGAGACTGTGCAAGGGGTGTGGAGGGAGCTGATGCTGGAAGGCACAGTGAGAGCGGATCACACAGATGCCAGGTCCCTGCAGCCAACTGGCAGCCAACCTGCTGGGGTGGCCTGTTTTGCAAACGGGGCTTTGTGGATCTCTGTTGACCGAACCTCCCTCCCGTGGCCAGACAGGACCTTTTGAGTCACTGGCCTGGTGCCCCTTCTGTCAGATCCCTCCCAACTGGTCCTCCTGGGCGCTCTCTGGATCCCTGCTTGTGTGTGTGCGTGTGTAAGTGTGTGCGTGTGCGCCACGTGTATGTGGAGTGGGGCTCCCGGGTGTCCATTCTGGATACAGACCCCGTGCTGCACCCGCATGGGTGTGGAGTGGGGCTCCGGGTGTCCCTTCCTGCATCAGACCTCGTGCTGCACCTGCAGGAACGCTTCGTGGTGCACATCACCGACGTGCTGGCCGTGTCCATGATGCTGGGCATCACGGCGCAGGTGAAGGAGGCTGGCATCGCCTGGGACAAAGGAGAAAAGAGGAGTAAGGACGCGGGGGTGGCCCGGCCTTGCTTGGTGGGGGGGTCTCAGGTCCAGGCTGGTGGCCGGTGGTTCTCTGTGGCTGCACTGTCCTCTGACCGCCCGGGAGGAGCGGTCCCACAGCACAGCCACTCAGGGACACAGAGTCTGGAAGCTGCCGTCCCGGTTCCTGTCCATCCAGACCTCACCCCAGCTGCAGGATCAGGCCCTGTTCTCCCTGAGTGTCCTTTGTGTGCTCCAGCTCTGGCCCAGTGTGGGGACACTGCAGGCATGGTGGCCCCAGCCGTGGGTGGGAGGGGAGGGGAGGTGGTGTTTGGGGCAGTCTGGGTGTTTGATTGTGGGTTTGCAGGAAGACTGGGCTGCAGAAGCCCTCTCAACCATTGACCGGAGCGAGTCACTCGCGACACGGGATTCCGGTCACCCACGTGTGTGTCAGGGTTACTCCATGCTCCCTGGGGTGTTATTCCAGCCAGGAATGGTCCAGAAGCTGGGGGTGCCCTGAGTTACCCCCTCCCAAGTGCCAGCCTTGAGCTGGAACCCTAGGGGTGCCTGTAGCCCCTCAGCCCATGGCTTGGATCCTGTGGCCCCTCAGCCCTGGCTTGGATCCTGTGGCCCCTCAGCCCGTGGCTTGGATCCTGTGGCCCCCCTCAGCCCGTGGCTTGGATCCTGTGGCCCCCCTCAGCCCGTGGCTTGGATCCTGTGGCCCCCTCAGCCCGTGGCTTGGATCCTGTGGCCCCTCAGCCCGTGGCTTGGATGGGCCACTAAGCTGCGTGTCTGTTGCAGATCTGGAAGTACTCCGCTCGTTCCAGAACCAGATCGCCGCCATCCAGCGGGATGCTGTCTGGTGGCTTCACACTGTGGTCCCCTCCATCAGCAAGCTCGCCCCCAAGGACTACGTGCACTGGTGCGGCCTGGGCCCCGCGCAACCCTGCCCCACACCCCCCTGAGCTGGGACAAGCCAGGGCCCCACACAGCCCCTGCCCCACACCCCCCTGAGCCGGGACAAGCCAGGGCCCCGCACAGCCCCTGCCCCACACCCCACTGAGCCGGGACAAGCCAGGGCCCCGCACAGCCCCTGCCCCACACCCCACTGAGCCGGGACAAGCCAGGGCCCCACACAGCCCCTGCCCCACACCCCACTGAGCTGGGACAAGCCAGGGCCGCACACGGGAGCCTGTCCCCTCTCTGGCCAGCAGCAGCCGTCATGCTGCAGGCATGTCACCCTGTGTACATTGGAGCCTCCCGTGGGACCTCTGCCTTGGTTGGGGTGGGGCTGTCAGGCTCGGGCCTGCATTTCTCTGCAGCGATTTTAGAAAGGACGGTTGGGTGCTATCCAGCCCGGCAGCCCCGTGAGTGGTTCCTGGGCTCTTTGGTGGTGCTGTGAGGAGGTGCTGAACTTGGCATCAGGCAGCCCCGCCTCTGAGCGCTTGGGCCTGTGGGAGCGGGGTCCCTTCCCTGGAACTAACAGGCTACTCCCTGAGCACCCACGTCGTGACTGAGGGCCCTTCTCTGCCTGCCCAGCCTGCACAAGGTGCTGTTCACAGAGCAGCCGGAGACCTACTACAAGTGGGACAACTGGCCACCAGAGAGTGACCGCAAGTGAGTGTACTGCCTCCTGGGCTCCTCTGGGCTGGGCTGGGCAGGGCTGGGGGGTGCCTGACTGGCTGCAGCAGGAGGGGTCAGTGGGAGTTGGACCGCTGTTTTCAAGGTCACGTCACCATCCTGTCCCTCCTCCATAACCCTGGGTGCCTTCTCTCACTGCCATGCTGGCGTTCCTGCGCCACTGCAAGGATTCAGCCGCTGCCTGTGTCCACGTGACTCTAAGCCTCAGCCACAGCCTCCCCCAAACTCCCACCTTCCAGATGCTTCCCAGGGCATCCACAGGCACTCCATCCACCCTCTACGCGGTCCCAAATGCAGTCTGCTCCTGCTTTTGTCCAGACAGCTGCACACTGTCCTTCCCCAGCCAGCTGGCCTCACAACTCTGTCCCTCTTCAAGTCCCGTGGGTGACCCTGTGGGTTCTTGGCCTACGCTCCCTTCCACCCCCGCCTGGGGCTGCTGCTGGTTCACCCTGCGCCCATCTCGTGCCTTGGGCGCTCTCCTCACCTTCACTGCGGCTTTCCCCGTCAGGCTTTAGAGGTGGAGGGGTCATCTCTGCCACCTGGCTCCCGGCTCCTTGACGGCAGGAAACTTCTTGGCCTCTGTGGGGTGGCAGAGCCTCCCATGTGGTGGCCATAGGAACCAGTGACTGTGTGTGTAGCCCCAAAGGCCTCGGGGTGGGGGTAACCTCCCCTTCTCCCCCTGCCCAGGCGAGACTTAGAGCCGGGGCTCCTGTCCTGCAAAGGGAGGCTCAGGTTGGAGGGGCAGCAGCAGCCCTCTGCCGCCAGCCCGTGGGCTCTGAGGGAAAGGCTGGCCTGACCTCGGCCCCTCAGGTCCGGCAGGTGTGGGTAGCCCGCAGGGAGTCACGCCTCCCCCCACCCCGCAGCTTCTTCCTGCGCCTGTGCTCCGAGGTGCCCATCCTGGAGGACACGCTGATGCGCATCCTGGTCATCGGGCTGTCCCGGGAGCTCCCGCTCGGGCCCGCAGACGCCATGGAGCTCGCCGACCACCTGGTGAAGCGGGCAGCGGCCGTGCAGGCGGATGGTATGGCTTCTCCAGGGGATGGCCCCTGTGCTGGGCTCTGCTCCCCTTGTCCCTGCAGAAATCCCGGCGCTGGCACGCATCTCTGGGGCACTCCACAAAGCTGCACTTCAGCTGGGCGCTGGGTCCCCGGGAGGCTTGGGGACCTGCCTTCTCCGCATCTATCCCTTAGGAATTTAGAAGCGGGTGTCTTTGGCAGTGATGCAGTCACTGCCCCGTGTTTTAGAATTTGTCCTGGAACTGGCACATCACCTCCTGTAGGAGGCTGTTAGAGTGATTTTAAATCCAGCTCGCACCTCGCCTGGCTCTCCCCCGGGGGCTTGCGGGTCCCCACCCTGCCGGCCACGCCCCCGTCCTCACCTCCCTACCCTCCCTTGGCAACCCTGCCAGCTCTCTAGACCCAGCCCGGGTGTGGCCCAGAGCCCCAGAGCAAGGTGTGCTTCGTGTCCCAGTGAGAAGCCCTGTTTCCCCCAGCTCCCCTGCTCAGGCCTGCGCCCCATCCCGCGGCATCCCCCACCCCACCCCAATGCCACGCGAGCAGGGCTTGTCCCCTCGCTGCCTGTGCCTGATGGTCTGTGAGCAGCTCCAGAACCTGTGCGTGGTTCTTGGTCTTAGATGTGGAGGTGCTGAAGGTGGGGAGGACCCAGCTGATCGATGCCGTTCTGAACCTGTGCACCTACCATCACCCCGAAAACATCCAGCTCCCGCCCGGGTAAGCCCGCGCCCCGCTCCCCACTCCCTCCCTGGTAAGCCTGCGCCCCGCTCCCCACTCCCCACTCCCTCCCAGATAAGCCCGCACCGCTCTCCCCACTCCCTCCCGGGTAAGCCTGCGCCCCACTCCCCACTCCCCACTCCCCACTCCCTCCCGGGTAAGCCCACGCCCCGCTCCCCACTCCCTCCCGGGTAAGCCCGCACCGCTCTCCCCACTCCCTCCCGGGTAAGCCTGTGCCCCACTCCCCACTCCCTCCCGGGTAAGCCTGCGCCCCGCTCCCCTCTCCCTCCTGGACAAGCCCGCACCCTGCTGACCTCACAGGTCTGCTGGTGACCTGTTTCCAGAGACCAGTGAGGCCACTGCGGGCCTTGACTGGCTGGGCCCGAGTCCCACCCTTACCTGGGTTCCAGTGGGCCGTTTCCCCGTTGTCTTCCCCCGTGTCTCCAGCTCAGTCATACTTTTTTCTCTTGTGTTTAACATATGTGTATTATTTTTCACACAACGAGTTTATGCTCTGTGTTTCACGGCTTTATGGAGAGAGAATTCACACACGTGTCATCTAAAGTGTGCAGTTTCATGTTTTCAGGATGTTCACAGGTTGTACAATCTTCATTGTAATTTAATTGTAGAACCTTCTTTGGTCCCCCCAAAAGAACCCCATTCCCACCAGCCGTCACTCCTCATTCCTCCCACTGCAGCCGCTCACCTGCTGTCATCTCTGTAGAGTGGCCTTTTGGGCGTTTTCTGTAAATGGCATCCTACCGTGCGTGGTCTCATGTGACCAGCTTTCTTTCCCGGGTGTGCTGTTTCCGGGGTCGCCTGTGCTGTAGCGTGAGGCAGTATCAAAGTCCTCCTTGTGGCTGACGGTGCCCCACTGTGTGGACAGACCACGTCTGCTGCTTCCACTCCTCTGCTGACAAACGGTGCTGCCGTGAGCGTGTGTGGACAAGTCTGTGTGGACGTGTCTTCAGTTCTCTTGAGCAGGTGGCTGGGAGTGGGGTTGCTGGGCCAGGTGTTTAACTGAGGCTCTGTCAGACCCTCCCCAGCGGATGCCCCCACCTTGAGTTCCCACTTGGATCACCGCCAGCGCTGCATGATCATTCCCGGTCTCCATCCCATCCTTGCTCGCACTCATGGCTGTTTCTCAGCAGAGCCATCCTGCCGGGGTGAGACGGTATCTCACAGTGGTTTCGGTTTGCATTTTCCATTTTTTGTGGGGAACGGAGTCTTGCTCTGTTACCCAGGCTGGAGTGCAGTGGTGCAGTCACGGTTCACTGCAGCTTCAACCTCCCTGGCTCAAGTGATCCTCCTGCCTTGGCCTCCTGTGTAGCTGGGACTATAGGCATGTGCTACCATGTCCAGCTAATTTTAGTGTCTGCAGAGATGGAGCCTCACTTTATTGCCCAGGCTGTTTTCAAACCCCTGGGCTCAGGCAGTCCTCCTGCCTTGACCTCTTAAAGTATTGGGGTTACAGGTATGATGAACCACTGCGCCTAGCCAGAAGTTTTCCATTTTGAGCAAATCCAGTTTTACCTATTTATCTTTGGTTTCTGTGCTTTTGTGTCATATCTAAGAAACCATTGCCTAGTTCAGGATAATGGAGATTTAATTCTGTGTTTTCTGTCAAGGGTTTTATCATCTCAGCTCTTACATTCAGGTCTTTGAGCCATTGTGATTTAGTTTTTATGGTGTGAGGCTGGGGTCCGGCTTCATTCCTCTGTGTGCGGACATCCACCTGTCCTGGCACCGTTGTTGAAAGCCTGTCTTTCCCTGATGAGGGTCTTTTGGCTCCGTGTCGTAGTTACCCATGTGGGTTGTTCCTGGACCCTCACTTCCGTTCTGTGGACCCACGTGGCACAGAGCTCACCTTTGGGGAGGCCCAGTCATCTTCATGCTGCTGCCACTGTGTGTGCTTTGACGTTGTACCTAGGATGCTGGGGCTGCCCCACGCTCCCGAAGCCTTCCTCCAGTTTTCTCCTAGGAGCCTTATAGTTTGGCGCTCCCTGTCTCTGGAGCCTGTCATCCGCTTGATGTGTGATGTTTGGTGCGGCCCTGCTTCGTTCTGTTGGTGTTGATTCTGGTTGTCGCAGCACTGTTGTTGAGAGGGCTGTTCCTGCGCCTTGGGCTGTCTTGGCGCGCTCTCGGCAGTCTGCACCTGAGTATGAGGGTTGACCTCTGGACTCTTGTAGCGTGTAGGCGAGAGGGTTGATCTCTCGACTCAGCTCTGCTCTGTCCGTCTGCGCGTCCGTTCTGTCGGTGTATGTGTCCATCCTCTATGAGGGCTGAGTTTTAAAATTGGGAAGTGCGTTTTCCAACTTTGTTCTTTCCCAGGATTGTTTTGGCTGTTCTGGGTCCTTGCATTTCCATGTGAATTTCAGCGTGAGCTTGTCAATTTCTGCAAAACAGCTGACTGGGATTTTGAGACAGTGTAGAATCGTGGGTCAGTCTGGGGAGCCCCTCCGTGTCAGTGAGGCCACACCCTGCGATCTGTGCCCGTGGGCAGGTTTCCCCTTATCCGGAGCCGACACCCTTTCAGAGGTGTCCCTTTATCCAGAGCCCACACCTTTTCAGGGGTTTCCGTTTATCCAGAGCTGACACCGTTTCAGGGGTTTTTGTTTATCCAGAGCCCACACCCTTTCAGGGGTTTCCGTTTATCCAGAGCTGACACCGTTTCCGCAGCGTTGTGGAGTTTTGGTCGGATGCACCTCGGAATCCCATGCTGCACCCAAGCCTCGCGTGCTCTCTGATGCCACGGTCGAGGTCCTCCTGCCGCGGTCGAGGTCCTCCTGCCGCGGTCGAGGTCCTGCTGCCGCGGTCGAGGTGCTCCTGCCGCGGTCGAGGTGCTCCTGCCGCGGTCGAGGTCCTCCTGCCGTGGTCGAGGTCCTCCTGACTCTCTGTCCTTCGGCAGCTGCTGCCCACTCTGCTTTCTGGTGTGGTCTTTCCCTCTGGGCAGCCTCCGCATGTGGCTCGTGTCTCAATTCACATCTGTCTCATAGTTAGGATTGTTTTCTCACCTGAGGGGCCCATACTTTAATGTAATTGTATCGTTACAATTCTATCTCGATGGTTCCCGGGGTGGTGTCTGTCATCTCATGTAGAAGATGAGAATCACTGATACGTAATGAGCATGTATTATGTATCCACCACTGCTCCCGTTTTATAGATGAGAAACAGAAACTTAGAAAGGTAAGGACGGAGCTGGAGTCGGGCCTGGACAGGGAGCCCAGAGCCAGGCTCACACAGGTGCTTGGACAGGTGTCACTGGAGGGCAGTCCCGAGAGGAGCTGGGAGCCAACTCCGTCCCTGCCCCAGCTTTGCCGCCTGGCCCGGCCAGTCCTTGGCGCTGAGCTTGGTGTGCCGGACCCGATCGGGGCGCCCCTGCCTTCCAGGTACCAGCCTCCGAACCTCGCTATCTCCACCCTCTACTGGAAGGCCTGGCCCCTCCTGCTGGTCGTCGCGGCATTCAACCCAGAGAACATCGGTGAGCCCCTGCTGGCCGCCGCGGGCACACGCATGGCCCTGCTGGTCCTTCTTTTGGGGCAGTTTGTCTGTTGGGACTTGGGATGAACCCAGCTGGGGACGAGAGAAGGAGCTGGGAGAGGGTGGGATCACACGCCTGGTGCCCAGGGGAGCCTGGCCAGCCCCACACCCTCCGGTTCCCTAGGCCTGGCTGCGTGGGAGGAGTACCCGACCCTGAAGATGCTCATGGAGATGGTGATGACCAAGTGAGTCCGCACGTCCCCTCGGTGGGCCCAGGGCGGGGAGCAGGGCCTGAAGTGAGTCCTCTCGTCCCCTCGGGGAGCCTGGGGCGGGGAGCAGGTATCGTGGGGACCAGGTGTGTGTCGTTGGGATCATGTGTGTGTGTGGCTGTTGTGCTGTGGGGAGTGGGCGTGTGTCTGCCTGTGGTTTTGTGGGGACTGGGCGTGTGTCTGCCCATGGTTTTGGGGAGACCGGGCGTGTGTGTGCCCGTGGTTTTGGGGTGACCGGGCGTACATCTGCCTGTGGTTTTGTGGGGACTGGGTATGTGTGTGCCCGTGGTTTTGGGGTGACCGGGCGTGTGTCTGCCCGTGGCTTGGGGGGGACCAGGCGTGTGTCTGCCCGTGGCTTTGGGGGGACCAGGCGTGTGTCTGCCCGTGGCTTTGGGGTGACCGGGCATGTGTCTGCCTGTGCATTTTGGGGAGTGGGCGTGTGTGTGTCCTGAGGTGGGAGGCACAACTGCTTCCCCCACCTCTGAAGGAGCAGATTGACTTTGGGGCCTTGGGGTCAGAGCTCAGATTAGAGCAGCCATGGGGAGTTGGGTATAGGAACACGCCAAAGCCATATGTGCCTCTGTAGGCAGAGAGTCCCTGCCCTGCAGGTCAGTCCCTGGATGGGTGGGCGGAGCCTGCGTGGCTGTCATACTGGGCTGTGCTCCTGGCATGGGTGGCGTGGGCGGGAGGCGGCCCGGGAAGAGGCTGGGTTCTGATGCTGCAGCCTTGGCTCTGGTAAGGGCGGCATGCTGCCTGTGGAGGACGAGGCCGTGGCTGGACTGCACCTCGGGGCAGCGCCATGGCTTCTCGCCGTGCTCTGACAGCTCTATGGATGCTCCTGGGCGCCCTGTGCTCCTGACTCCTGTGCAGCAGGCAGCAGCGGCCACAGGGGTTTTGACCCTTCTTAACCCTGAGCGTGGTCCGCTGGGAGTGAGCCCTTCGTGGGGGACAGGGTGACACACTCCTCTCTCTGGCCCTAGCAACTACTCCTACCCGCCGTGCACCCTGACGGATGAGGAGACCCGGACGGAGATGATGAACCGTGAGCTGCAGACTGCCCAGCGGGAGAAGCAGGAGATCCTGGCCTTCGAGGGGCACCTGGCAGCCGCGTCTACCAAGCAGACCATCACTGAGAGCAGCAGCCTCCTCCTGTCGCAGCTCACCAGCCTGGACCCCCAGTATGCAGCCCACACAGCCCTGCCCCACGCCTGCCGTCAGGACCTATGGGTGGTTGGTGTGGGTGGGACAGAGGCTGAAGGAGCAGGCGGAACCGATTGCACTGCGGCAGACCGTAAAAGGCCTGTGGAGCCCCATCCCCATGTCCCTGGCTTACTGCTGTGGGGCCAGGCCTTGGGGACATCCCAGGTCAGGACGGGTCGCCTATCTCGGGCTGTCGGCTGCCCCTCGAAGCAAGGATGGGAGGAGGGGGTGTTCTGGGGGTGATCCGCTCAGGGCGTGCTGACACATCATGTCCTCTGTGACCCTCAGAGGGCCCCCTCGGAGGCCTCCCCCTCACATCCTGGATCAAGTGAAAAGCCTCAACCAGTCCCTCCGCCTCGGGCACCTCCTGTGCCGCAGCCGAAACCCCGACTTCCTCCTCCACATCATCCAGCGGCAGGTGAGCTCAGAGGCTCCAGGAGGTAGAGATGGCGGTCTCGGGAGGCCCGGAGCCTTCCGGAGGCCTTGGTGGCCAGAAGCGGGCAGGACACACCTGGATGCCAGGCCCATGAGCTGGCTGCTGTGTGTTGCCCTTTCCGGCTCCAAGGTCGCCCGGGGGGCTGGCGGCAGGTGTTGGGCCCAGAAGGCGCTGAGCGGGGGCTGCTGTCACCTGCCCAGGCCTCCTCGCAGTCCATGCCCTGGCTGGCGGACCTGGTACAGTCCAGCGAGGGCTCCCTGGATGTGCTGCCCGTGCAGTGTCTGTGTGAGTTCCTGCTGCACGATGCTGTGGACGATGCTGCCTCCGGAGAGGAGGACGATGAGGGCGAGAGCAAGGAGCAGAAGGCCAAGAAGCGGCAGGTCAGGGCTGCCCACCCGCCTCTCACCCCGCACCCCTGTCAGGGCTGCCCATCCCTCAGCCCACCCGCCTCTCACCACACACCCGTCAGGGCCGCCCACCCCTTGGCCCACCCGCCCCACACCCCACATCCCATCTGCCTGTTCTGTCACTTGCACCCCTGAGAGCACCCTCCTCCCCACAGAGGCAGCAGAAGCAGCGGCAGCTGCTGGGCCGCCTGCAGGACCTGCTGTTGGGCCCGAAGGCTGATGAGCAGACAACGTGTGAGGTGTTGGACTACTTCCTGCGGCGCCTCGGCTCCTCCCAGGTGGCCTCCCGTGTGCTGGCCATGAAGGTGAGGTGGTGGGCGGGTCTTCCTGCGCACGTTCTTCATGTTTAAAATGAGTAGGCTGGGGACCAGGCACGGTGGCTCAGGCCTGTAATCCCAGCACTTTGGGAGGCCAAGGTGGGAGCATCCTTGAGTCCAGGAGTTTGAGACCAGCCTGGGCAACACAGGGAGACCCCATCTCTACAAAAAATGAAAAAATTAGCTAGGTGTGGTAGTGTGTGCCTGTGTTTCCAGCTACCCTGGAAGCCGAGGCAGTAGGATCACTTGAGCCCAGGAGTGTGAGACCAGGCTGGGCAACACAGTGAGACCCATTTCTACAAAAAATAAAAGATGAAAAAAGTTATCTGGGTGTGGCGGCATGCACCCGTGGTCCCAGCCATTGGGAGGCTAAGATGGGAGAATCACTTGAGCCCAGGAGGTTGAGGCTGCAATGAGCTGTGATCACACCACTGCACTCCAGCCTAGGCAACAGAATGAGACCCTGTCTTAAAAAGTGAAAGTAAAAATAAAATGAGTGTTCAGTTCACCCCGACTGTATTTTTAAGTTCCTTGCCCGCGTAGGAGGGATGCGCTGGTGAAACGTGAAGGCGGACCCCGCCACCTGCCTGTTGTTCCTTTCCTGCTGGGGACGGGAGGGTCCAGTGTGGCTTCACGAACGTGAACAGAAGCGTTTAACAGAAAGAGCTCAGTCTCATTTTTCCCTTTTCCCTGTGGTCTCCCCTGGGAAGCAAGCGCCACATTCTCCTCGGGGCTCTGAGGGCACCGCCGTGTGCTCCCCGGGCCGGGCTGAGACCCTGCCTGCACTGCTGAAGCCGGCCCAGCTCACGCGTGTCTGCCACAGGGTTTGTCGCTCGTGCTTTCGGAGGGCAGCCTGCGGGACGGGGAGGAGAAGGAGCCCCCCATGGAGGAGGATGTGGGGGACACAGATGTGCTGCAGGGCTACCAGTGGCTGCTGCGGGACCTGCCCCGCCTGCCTCTCTTCGACAGCGTCAGGAGCACCACAGCCCTGGCCCTGCAGCAGGTGAGGGCGCTGACCAGGGCCTCAGTGGGCGGGGATGAGAGGGCCACAGCCCTGCCCCGGTGCTGCTCAGACCACCCTCCCCTCCAGGCAATCCATATGGAGACCGACCCCCAGACCATCAGCGCCTACCTGATCTACCTGTCCCAGCACACGCCTGTGGAGGAGCAGGCCCAGCACAGCGACCTGGCCCTGGTGAGGCAGCAGAGCCAGCCAGCAGAGTGGCCCTGGGGAGGGGACGGGGGCAGCACAGAGACCCCGCCCTGGGGAGGGTATGGGGCCAGTGGTGCAGTGCCCTGGGCTGGCGGCTTCTTGGGCCTCAGGGAAGCATTGAGGGTGGGAGGGCTGTCACGGCTGCTGTGCTGGGGCCTCTGTGACCCTGTGGCCACCTGTGTCCCTTCCTTAGTCACCACTCACTCCCTGGAGCCTTTCTCCCTAGTCCCTGAGGGTGCGAAGTCACAGGGATGAGGGTGCCTTGTTCACAGCAGGGTGGAATCTGAGCCATCAGCCCTCTTCCCCAGACCAGGAGGGTTTGGGCTGTGGGCCCAGGTCGCTGGGCACCTGCTCGCTGTCCTCAGCATCTCTGGCTTACATGTGTGGCGCTGACTCCTGTCTTCTCTCCTGGGTGCTGTCCTTCTCCACTGGGCGTCTTCCAACTTTGCACTGCTGTCCTCTGTCCCCAACCTGCGCTGTGACCTAGTGAAAGTTCGTGGCCCGAGTCCTTGGGGAATGAGCGATGGGTGAACAGATGGTGGCTGCCGGGCAGAGGGCAGCAGTGTCTGCCTTTAGGGCCTGGTCATTGTCCTTGGCCGTGAGAGTCATGTCCTCCCTCCCGCCTGGAGAGTCCGACCCAGCTCTGGTCGTCTCCCCTGGAGGCCTGTGGCAGAGTGAGGGTCTGCGGTGCTGGTGCTGGTGCCGTGGGCCCTGCCTAAGATCCCAGTGAGGACGTGCCTGCGATAAGGCCGCCCCAGCTGGCCTGAGAGCCGAGCTGTCTTGGAGCCTCTGACACCCCCCTGTCCATACACCAGGACGTGGCCCGGCTGGTCGTGGAGCGCTCCACCATCATGTCCCACCTCTTCTCCAAGCTCTCCCCGAGTGCCGCGTCGGACGCCGTGCTGAGCGCTCTGCTGTCCATCTTCTCACGCTACGTGAGGCGCATGCGGCAGAGCAAGGAGGGCGAGGAGGTCTACAGCTGGGTGAGGCCGCGCAGCGCGCTTGGTGCCGACTTGGTGCCCTTGGCGCTGGCCCAGGGTCCCCGAACCTCACGGCCCTGACTCCGCCTCCTTTCCCGCAGTCGGAGTCTCAGGACCAGGTCTTCCTGCGCTGGAGCAGTGGGGAGACGGCCACCATGCACATCCTCGTGGTCCACGCCATGGTCATCCTGCTGACGCTGGGCCCGCCGCGAGGTGAGCCGCCGCGGGCACTGAGAGGGCAGCTTCGTGCCAGGTGGGCCATGGCCCTGACCACACCCAGCGGCTTCCGCATCCTTGCCTTGCTTCTGGGCGGGAAGCCCTCCGGCCCTTTCACCCAGTGTCCTAGCTTCTCTCCTAAAGAGGAGGCTGCAGTCCGTCCCGCGTGTCTCTGAGCACTTGGTGGACACGTGGGAGATCCCCGCGTGATGCGGCCTCCCAGCCTGGAGAGCCCTGAGCTGGAGGGCCTGGTGTAGCCTGCAGTCAGAGTCCTCACTGCCCCAGCCTATCTGTGTAGGCCTGCGGTGCCTGGGAGGCGGCAAACTCAGGGTTTCACTGTGTGGAGGTGCGAGATGAGGCTGCCAGGCAAGCGGGTCCTCTCCCCAGGGCCCGGGCATGTGACCCTGAGGACGCTCTGGCCAGCACAGTGTTGGGAATCCGGCGCCCACCCAGCCATGCCCTCTGTGGCCGCAGCCTTCCGCTTTGTTCTTGGCTGACACCAGGAACTGCTCCCACGTTCACCCCATTGTGTCTGCCAGTGGGGAAAGGGGGCGGAACCCCCTTGCTGGGGTTTGGGTGGACGTGAGCGGGCTGTGCCAGGGTGGTGAACCCGCTTGCAGAGGTCGGGTGGATGTGGCAGGCTGTGCCAGGGTGGTGAACCCCCTTGCAGAGGTCAGGTGGATGTGGGCGAGCTGTGCCAGGGAGGTAAGCCCTACTGGGAGACAGATGCAGTCACAGGTGTCACCCTTGGGAAGGGCAGCAGGGGAAGCTGGCCCCATGTGGCCCTGGGTCTGTGGGGTTTCCCATTGGCTTTGTGGAGCCAGAGAGCTGGATGGGACCTGGTTCAGCCAAGCAAAGCCTCGAGGGCAGGGGCTGGACAGGGACACGCACATGTCCGCTTGGCCAAGACAAAATGGCGGTGATGCTGCTTGCCGTCCTTCAGTGTCTGTGAGGATCAAATGCGTGCACCTACGCAGAGCATCCGTGAATAGCAAGTACTCTAGCACGGGAGCCCCGTGCTCCTCCCAAGCCTCAGTTTCCCCCTTGGGAGAGGAGGTGCCTCTAGCCTTGGCACCAGCTGTGCTTGGGGCTGGGCTCCCGGCGGGTCTGAAGGCTGCTCACCCATTGTCCTTCCTGAAGCCGACGACAGCGAGTTCCAGGCACTGCTGGACATCTGGTTTCCAGAGGAGAAGCCGCTGCCCACCGCCTTCCTGGTGGACACATCGGAGGAGGCGCTGCTGCTTCCGGACTGGCTGAAGCTGCGCATGATCCGTTCTGAGGTGCTCCGTCTGGTGGATGCTGGTATGGCCCAGGCTGGGCTTGAGTGGTGGGGGCTGCTGACTCGGGGGTCCCGGACCTCTCACCTGCTCCTCGGCTCTGAGGTGCTCCGCCTCATGGACGCCGGTACGGCCCAGGCTGGGCTGGGGGGCAGACCGCTGACTCGGGAGTCCCGGGCCTCTCACCTGCTCCTCCGCTCTGAGGTGCTCTGCCTGGTGGACGCCGGTACGGCCCAGGCTGGGCTCGGGGCGGGCTGCTGACTCGGGTCCCGGGCCCCTCGCCTGCTCCTCCGCTCTGAGGTGTTTGGCCTGGTGGATGCTGGTACGACCCAGGCTGGGCTCGGGCGGGGGCTGCTGACTCGGGGGGGTCCCAGGCCCCTCACCTGCTCCTCGTGGGCCTGGACGGTCTCCGGCCGTGGCAGAGGAGAAGACTGGCCAGGTGGCCTCAGGGGATCCTGCAGATCATATGTCCTGGCCACAGCAAGCTGTGCTGGCCCCTGGGAGGAGACCTAGGGCAGCCTGTGCTGGCCCCGTCTGGGAGGGTCTTACTGTCAGGCTCAGGGGCCTAGAGTGAGAAACGGGGCCTGGACGGAAAGATGAGAAAGTGGTCTGGGGTTGGAGGGGAGGAGGGGAAGTGGTGGGGCCTCTGGGTTGGTCCCTGAAGGATTTGGGGGTTGAAGCTGCAGCAGGGGATGAGCGTGGGGCCTGGGCCCACGTAGGTCAGTAGGGCTGGTGCCTGGTCAGTGAGGAGACATGGGGGGCAGCTTGGTGAGTAAGTGGGGCTGGCTCAGGAAGCCCCTGACTGCCAAGGGGTCTAGGCTATTGTGTGCCCGCGGGAGCCGTCGATGGCTTCAGGGTAAGAGCGCCATCCTGAGCATTGAGAGGAGATAGTCACGGCGCCCTGTGTGCAGTTCGGGAGGTGTACTGCGCCGTGCCACCATAGGCCCTCTGGTGCGTCCACCCACCCCCGGGGATGAGGCCCACACAGCTGCCATCCAGGGCGCAAGGCGGTCCTGAACTGCTGTCCCCTTGTGCGGCCCCAGGTCTCGGGTGGGGCTGCAGAGTGTGCACCGCTGTGGGTCTTGGGTGGGGTCACTGAGCACGTGTGGCCCAGGGTCTCGGGTGGGTGGGGTCACTGCACACAGGCAGCCCCAGGTCTCGGGTGGGGTCCCAAGTGCCTGTTGCCCGGGTCTCAGGTGGCGTTACAGAGCACGTGCACTCTCAGCCCTGCAGGACCTGGAGCCGCAGCAGCTGCTGCTGTTCGTGCAGTCCTTTGGCATCCCTGTGTCCAGCATGAGCAAACTCCTCCAGTTCCTGGACCAGGCCGTGGCCCACGACCCCCAGACACTGGAGCAGAACATCATGGACAAAAGTAAGACGCCAGGGACCTGCGGAGTGGGCCACACACGCTGATCGAGCCCCAGTCCGGCCAGGCTTTTGGGGCCTGGGTGCGAGCGGGTGGGTAATCCGAGGTCAGCTGGGTGTGGGTGGCACTCGAAGCCAGGCTTAGAGCTGTGGGCCAGCAAGGCTGGCACAGGCAGAAGGGAGCCGAGGCCTGGGCCTGCCCCAACCCTGGGGCCAGACACCCTGTCGGGCCTGTTCTGAGGTTGGAGGAACTGTTGGGGCCTCGATGCTCACTGAGCCTGCCCAGCTTCTGAAGTCCTTGGGAAGTGTTGGAGACCGTGGGGGTGTCCCCAACTCTGGTGTCTGTAGAGAGGGGAGGACCTGCCGCTGACCCCTGGCCGCGCCCAGGCGTGACCCTGCTGCTGTTTGCAGATTACATGGCCCACCTGGTGGAGGTCCAGCATGAGCGAGGCGCCTCCGGAGGCCAGACTTTCCACTCCCTGCTCACGGCCTCCCTGCCGCCCCGCCGAGGTACTGGGGAGGGACGGGGCCCACACAGAGACCCAGCCTGGGGAGGGAGACCGGACCTGCGTAACCACACAGTGCAGTGCACACTTGCTGATGTCACCTGAGAGGGGCCCCCACAGAGGCTCTCGGCCGGTCTTTGGTCAGCGTTTGCCTCTGGCCAGCATGTGGGTTCTCGTTGAGTCTGAGATCCCTGTGGTCCTGAGCGAGACCTGGGGTCCTTGGGGAGCATGGAGCCCAGGTCTGAGCTCTTCCTCCTGGGTGACGGTCCCCAGGCAGGGCTGACCGTGGCTTGCACAGTTTCTGCCGCTGGAAACCAGTCAGGAAGTGTCCAGCCGCTGATGGTTCTCCTGTCTCTGCAGACAGCACAGAGGCACCCAAACCAAAGAGCAGCCCGGAGCAGCCCACAGGCCAGGGCCGGATTCGGGCGGGGACCCAGCTCCGGGTGCTGGGCCCTGAGGACGACCTGGCTGGCATGTTCCTCCAGGTAGCGATGCTGCTGCGCGTGGGTCTCTACCTGCAGCCCCTCTTCCTGTGTACAGCCTCCCCTGCCGCCTCACGTGCACAGCGGCCTTGACACGCGTGACCGCCTGACCCTGGCACATTGCTTTCACGTAACACTCCCATGCCCTCAGATGGAGGCTTAGGCCAGCATTGGGGAAGGGGGTCACCCTGCCTCCTCCCTGCCGTCCTTGCACGCCCCTCTGCATGGGGCATCCAGTTTGATATATGCAGAAGCCAAAGTTGCAGGTCTCACCCGAGGTCTGGCTGTTGGAGCCGGGGATCCTGCAGGCCTCACCACCTCCTGATGGGGAGCCTGGTGGGCCCTGGGCAGGCTCTGGACACCTTCGTCCTCTGGGGCAGCTCCTGGGTGTTGGGGTCCCTCACTGCTCCCCATCACAGGTCTCAAGGGCCCTGGGCCCCTCAGGCCACAAGGCGGGGGCCACAAATGAACAAGGAGTTGATAGGACGCGGTTCTGGCATGAAGCTGCACCCACCGGGCACTCAGCCTCTCCGCTGTGCTCCTCTTCCTCCGCTTCCTCCTGACACCGGCCTGCCCTGTTCCAGATCTTCCCGCTCAGCCCGGACCCTCGGTGGCAGAGCTCCAGTCCCCGCCCCGTGGCCCTCGCGCTGCAGCAGGCCCTGGGCCAGGAGCTGGCCCGTGTCATCCAGGGCAACCCTGAGGTGCCGGGCATCACGGTGCGTGTCCTGCAGGCCCTCGCCACCCTGCTCAGCTCCCCACACGGCGGCGCCCTGGTGATGTCCATGCACCGCAGCCACTTCCTGGCCTGCCCGCTGATGCGCCAGCTCTGCCAGTACCAGGTGCCCGGGTGTGGGCCTCGGGTGGGAGGAGGAAGGAAGGCAGTGAGGGCTCTGCCTTCCGCAGGATGGCCTCGGTGTCGTGACTGCTCCTGTGTGGGTCTTGGGTCTCGGTTTCTAAGCAAAAAAGGACAGTGCCCCAGGGAGCGGCGGCAGGGTCCCCTTTCTTCAGTGAACATTCCCCCGGGACGGGAGGTGGGGCAGTGCGGTGTCCGCCTGTTCGCGCCCCACCACCCAGGCGCGGCGCCCCTGCCTTGCTTTCCCCGTCTGCTGGTGCCTGGGACTGTGTTTTACTTGCGTGTGTGTTTATTTTTTCCCTTGAACCACATGGGAGCCCTCACCAACTGGGGGTTTTGAAAGGGTCTCTGCGAGGTCATCTGGGCCTGTGCAGGGGAGGCACCGTTTCAGGCAGGAGGTGGGATGAGGTTGGCTCAGGCCCCAGGTGCCGGTCGCGGCAGGTGTCAGCAGCCTCACAGCCCCGGTCTGGGCCTTGGGTGCCGGGTCCTTGTGTGTCATCTGCCAGGGTAGCCACATGCCACTTTGTCCCCGCAGCGCTGTGTGCCGCAGGACACCGGCTTCTCCTCACTTTTCCTGAAAGTGCTTCTGCAGATGCTGCAGTGGTTGGACAGCCCTGGTGTGGAGGGCGGGCCCCTGCGGGCACAGCTCAGGATGCTCGCTGGCCAGGCGTCGGCCGGGCGCAGGCTCAGCGATGGTGAGGACCGTGCCAGACTGGCAGACAGCTGGGGGGCACTGGATGGGGGCTCACACAGAGTGGCCAAGCTGCCTGGCACCCCGAGGCCCGGGGAGTGGCTTGTGGGGGGGATGCCCGCGTGGACCCAGGGGAGCTCTTCTACCGTGGGGCCTCCCTGGACGGGGCGTACCAATAGGGGTGAGGGCGGAGCCACAGGGCACTCACACAGACCTCCCACAGTGCGAGGGGGGCTCCTGCGCCTGGCCGATGCCCTGGCCTTCCGTCAGGACCTGGAGGTGGTTAGCTCCACTGTGCGTGCCGTCGTCGCCACCCTGAGGTCTGGGGAGCAGTGCAGCGTGGAGCCCGAGCTGATCAGCAAAGGTGCCTTCCTGGCCCAGTCCCCTCGGGCCGCTGGGGCCTTGGGAAGACCCAAGCCTGCGGCTGCTTCTTGCTGCCTAGTGGGGGACGGACAGTGGCTGCTCAGCACTGTCCTCAGAAAGTACCCACAGAGGTCCCCTCTCAGATGGCCGAGGGCGGGGCCTCTTGAGAATGAGTTGGAGCTTCCTCCTTGGGGGGCCCCCCGATCACTGCTGCACCCAGCAAAGTGAGCCCTGGCCTCAGCTGCACTCTCTGGCCCTGGCTGGGCTCTCCTGTTGTGTTCCACACACGGTCACCCCACATCCCACCCTGGCTAGCCCACACCCACTCGGCAGCCCCCCTGACCTGGGCGTGACCCACATGTTTATCTGTCCCTTGCACAGTCCTCCAGGGGCTGATGGAGGTGAGGTCCCCCCACCTGGAGGAGCTGCTGACTGCGCTCTTCTCTGCCACTGCGGACGCCGCCTCCCCGTTTCCGGGCTGTAAGCCCGTGGTGGTGGTGAGCTCCCTGCTGCTGCAGGAGGAGGAGCCCCTGGCTGCGGGGAAGCCGGATGCGGATGGCGGCGGGTGAGCTGGGGTGCTGCACACGACCGGAGCAGGCGGGCAGGCGGCACCAGCTCCTCCCTGAGCCACCTTCTCCCTGCAGCCTGGAGGCCGTGCGGCTGGGGCCCTCGTCAGGCCTCCTGGTGGACTGGCTGGAGATGCTGGACCCCGAGGTGGTCAGCAGCTGCCCCGACCTGCAGCACAGGCTGCTCTTCTCCCTGAGGAAGGTGGGTGGCATCCAGCTTCAGCACGGGGACTCACCTGGGGTCTAGGGCTCTTCCTGACCTGCAGTGCAGCAGCCTTGGCCTGGGCGAGCCTTGCAGGGGCCCCAGTAGCCCCCCCGCTCTCAGGCCGTGTCCTGTAGCAACCCAGAGGAAGGGCAGGGTCCCCTGTTGGCCCCAGCAGAGCCCAGGCCAGGGTCACAGTCGCCTGTGGACCAGCCAGATGTGGGGACGGGGCGGGTGGACGGGGTAGGGTTGGCCACGCCAAACCCTGTAGATTGTGTAGGGGCCTCCGTCTTCCCAAAGGGAATGGGGCTGTGGCCAGGAGAAGGGAGGGCAGGTGCTGGGCTCCCCAGGTCCCCCGCAGGGGAGGGATGGCCTCACCAGAGAGGCTGCACGGAGCCCTGGGCACCTCCACTCTGTGGCATGGCTCCCATGGGAAGAGGTGGGGAGATGCTGCACAGCCGCCAGGAGGGGCCCTCCAGCACCACATGACGGGGCCGGTGTCACCGGCAGCACCCCAGGCCTCGGCTCTCTGAGCGGCTCATTGGGGAAACCATCAGCTGACCTCAGCAGAGCCTGCCATTGGCCCCGGTGAGGCCATCTGGGCTTCTTTCTCCCTCCCCAGGGCAAAGGTCAGGCCCAGGTGCCCTCGTTCCGCCCCTACCTCCTGACCCTCTTCACGCATCAGTCCAGCTGGCCCACGCTGCACCAGTGCATCCGAGTCCTGCTGGGCAAGAGCCGGGAGCAGAGGTGGGCGCCTCCCTGTCCCCAACCCGGGCCACGTGCACACTGGCCTTTGCCAGAACTCTCCCAGCGCCGGCTCTGACTGGTATCTCCCGTGCTGAGACGAGACACCTCATGCTCAGTGGAACCCGTGCCTCCCCACAGGTTCGACCCCTCCGCCTCTCTGGACTTCCTCTGGGCCTGCATCCACGTTCCTCGCATCTGGCAGGGGCGGGACCAGCGCACCCCGCAGGCAGGTCTTGGGAGGGTGGCCCATCCGGGAGAGGGCGTGGCCCTCCGGGACTGATGCAGATGCCTGTTACAGAAGCGGCGGGAGGAGCTAGTGCTGCGGGTGCAGGGCCCGGAGCTCATCAGCCTGGTGGAGCTAATTCTGGCCGAGGCGGAGACTCGGAGCCAGGACGGGGATGCGGCTGCCTGCAGCCTCATCCAGGCCCGGCTGCCCCTGCTGCTCAGCTGCTGCCGTGGGGACGATGAGGGTGTCAGGAAGGTGACGGAGCACCTATCAGGCTGCATCCAGCAGTGGGGAGACAGGTGCTCAGGCCCCCTGGCCCCAGATGCTGCCTGGGAGTGAGCCCCATGGAGGGGGTCGAAGCCCAGCCCCGGGTGGTTCCCCATCACGCCTGGTCCCGTCCTCCCACCCCTGTCACTGGGGCCCCGTCCGCCTGGTGAGCCCTGCTCCATCTCTTCCAGTGTGCTGGGCAGGCGCTGCCGAGACCTCCTCCTGCAGCTCTACCTACAGCGGCCGGAGCTGCGGGTGCCCGTGCCTGAGGTCCTGCTGCACAGTGAAGGAGCTGCCAGCAGCAGCATCTGCAAGGTGAGGGCACCACTCTGCCGCTCCCTGCGCCGTCCCAGGTGCCCTGGCCGGGCAGGGAGGGAGGGCAGAGGCCCCAGTTTGTGTGGCCATCACCAGCTTCACCTCTTGTCCCTTCCTGGTCTGTGCTGCCCTGTGGCCCTGTGGGTTTGTCTGCATTGAGTAGGCGCCTCGCTCGCGGGGCGCCATCCAGCAGAGTCTGGAGAGTCGTGGTGTCATGGGCGCTGAGCTGCCTGCCATCGTGTGGATGGACCGTTGGTTTATCTGCCCACCTGCTGGTGGACGTGGAGTCACGTTCAGTTTGGGGCAGTGACAGCTGCTGGGGACTCGTGCATGGGTCTAGGTGGACGGGTGCGTCCGCTCCTCTCCAGTCACCCTGAGGGCAGGGCTGGGCCTCTCGTGCCCGCTTCCCCGCCGCTGGCTGGAACCCGCAGCCTGTCTTCTGCTGGTACCACAGAGGGCAGCTGACTTTCTCTAATCATTTCTGCCTGTGATTTTTTTCACTTATAAGTTGTTTTATATGTTGAAATCATACTTGATGTGCAGTTTTGCAGGGAGTTTTTGAGGCAGGGTGTCTGCTGCCAAGGCTGGAGTGCAGCGGCACCATTATAGCTCACTGCAGCCTTAACCTCCCGTGCTCAAGTGATCCTCCCACCTCAGCCTCAAGTGATCCTCCCACCTCAGCCTCCTGAGTAGCTGGGACCACAGGCATGTGCCACCCCACCGAGTTAATTTTTTTTTTTTTTGAGACGGGAGTCTCTCTCTGTCGCCCAGGCTGGAGTGCAGTGGCCGGATCTCAGCTTGCTGCAAGCCCCGCCTCCCGGGTTTACGCCATTCTCCTGCCTCAGCCTCCCGAGTAGCTGGGACTACAGGCGCCCGCCACCTCCCACCTCGCCCGGCTAGTTTTTTTGTATTTTTTATTAGAGACGGGGTTTCACTGTGTTAGCCAGGATGGTCTCGATCTCCTGACCTCGTGATCCACCCATCTCGGCCTCCCAGAGTGCTGGGATTACAGGCGTGAGCCACTGCGCCCGGCCATCTTTTTGTATTTTTAAAAATAGAGACGGAGTCTCGCCATGTTGCCCAGGCTGGTCTGAACTTGTGGGCTCTGGTGATCTTCCTGCCTCGGCCTCACAGAGTGCTGGGATGACGTGCATGAGCCACTGCACCCGCCTGGCCGATGTGCAGTTTTGGCTTGTTTCCCGCTTTGTATCATTTGGTGTTGAGCTTTGGTTTTATTCTGTGTGGGGTTTTCCCAGAGGCTGGCTGTGGCCTACCTGCCCTCCTGAGGTGCTCATGGAAGCCTTAAGGAGCCAGTTCCTCTGCTCATGGCATGCCATGCGGTGGATCGTGGCCACAGCTGGCGGCCAGGCTGAGTGTGGGCGGGCAAGTGAGGGGAGCCAGCGGCCCCAGCCTCAGAAGGCCCCTCCCTGCAGCTGGATGGACTCATCCACCGCTTCATCACGCTCCTGGCGGACACCAGCGACTCCCGGGCATCGGAGAACCGAGGGGCGGATGCCAGCATGGCCTGCCGGAAGCTGGCAGTGGCGCACCCACTACTGCTGCTCAGGTGCTGCCTCAGAAGTGCTGCCCTCACCAGACGCTGGTTTAACCAGGGCTCTGCGGCTCTCCAGCCTGGGCAACAAGAGCGAAACTCCGTTTCAAACAAAAAACAAAAAGCATGTTTCCCATGGGCTGAGGTTGACGGAGGGAAGTCAGAGCCCTGAGCTGGGCCTCAGGTGGGAGGAGCTGGGTGGGCCCCAGAGAGGGGCAATGTCATCCCCACCTCCTAGGGCAGGGGGTGGTGTGGGAGTCGGGGTGGGCAGCCCAGGGTCTGGCTCCCGGGGCAGTCAGTGGGGCCTTCCTCGGGACATGTGCCACGTGAGCCGGCTGGCTGGGGCTGACTGGGCCCTCACTGCGCCCGCAGGCACCTGCCCATGATCGCCGCGCTCCTGCACGGCCGTACCCACCTCAACTTCCAGGAGTTCCGGCAGCAGAACCACCTGAGCTGCTTCCTGCACGTGCTGGGCCTGCTGGAGCTGCTGCAGCCGCACGTGTTCCGCAGCGAGCACCAGGGGGCGCTGTGGGACTGCCTGCTGTCCTTCATCCGCCTGCTGCTGGTGTGTGCTCCCGCCGCCCGCCCCCGTGCTCCCTTCCACTCCCTTCCACTCCCTCTGCCCTGGCTCAGGCCTGCCGCCTCCACCCGGGGAGGGACTGGGAGGACCCCTGCAACCAAGGCCCAGGCCAGGCCACCTGCCCTGGGGACCAGCTCCCACCCTGGGAAGCCCCTGCCTGCTGCCCCTCGTGTGCCTGGGGGTCCCACGTCCTGCAGAAGCCCAGCCCAGACCCTCCGTGCTGCTCTCTGCGTGTCGCTTGTGCCACCTCGAGCCCCTCATCGATCTGGGCATGTGCCCCAGACGGCTGTGTCCACACCCTGACAGGCCACGCTGGCCACCCTCGGGCCCGTGACGCCACAGTGATTGGCAGAGGGGGCTCATTGGCTGGGGGCTCGTTGGCTGTGGAGTCCGTGCCCTGAGGCTCTGGGAGCAGATGGGAGCACAGGCTGTGTTTTGGCCCAGCGGGGCAGAGCAGCTGGAGGGTGCCGCTTTTGCTTTGCAGAATTATAGGAAGTCCTCCCGCCACCTAGCTGCCTTCATCAACAAGTTTGTGCAGTTCATCCATAAGTACATCACCTACAACGCCGCGGCAGCTGTTTCCTTCCTTCAGAAGCACGCTGACCCGCTCCAGTGAGTGCCACGGGCTGCAGGGAAGCCTCGGGCCTCTGGCCAGGTCCAGCAGGGTCTGGAGGGTGTTCCCGGGGAGGCTGGGTCATGTCAGATCTGCGGCTCCTGCGGCAGGAGAGGGCTGCTGTGCGTGGTGCTCATCCCAGGGGGCAGAGGCCGCTCCACCCTGCGCCGGAGCTGTCCACACCCACCCCTGCAGCTCTCTGTCCTGTTCCACGCACACATGGCCTCCTCGCCTGGGCCTCCCCTGACCCAGCCTTCCGCCCGCCAGCGTCTTCCTCCCAGGTGAAAGCATCTTCTCTCCCTAGCGACCTGTCCTTCGACAACAGTGACCTGGTGATGCTGAAATCCCTCCTTGCAGGGCTCAGTCTGCCCAGCAGGGACGACAGGACCGACCGAGGCCTGGACGAAGAGGGCGAGGGTGAGTGGGGCTGGCAGGGGCTGCTGGAAGCAGCTGCGGAACAGTCCTGGGGGCCTGGTTTTCCCGGCCGCACAGCCAGCCCTGGGCCGTCTGAGGTGTCCTGATGGGGCTTTGTGAGCCGGGACCTTGCTGACTGGCTGGCCCCTGGCCCACCTCACGGGGACGAAGTGCTGACTGGTGCCTGACAGAGCATCAGCACACCTGCCCGGCACATCGCCCCACCCGGCACATCACCTCCACCCCCGGCATGTCGCCCCCGCCCCCCGGCACCCCGGCGCGTCGCCCCCTCCCCCGGCGTGTCGTCCCCGCCCCCGGCACATCACCCCTACCCCTGCCACATCGCCTCCGCCCCTGGCACATTGCCCCGCCCCCGGCACATCGCCTCCGCTCCTGGCACATCCACCACCCACCAGCGCTTGTCCCAGGTGTCCCTCCCCAGGAAGCCTCCCCTGGTCCTACTGGGCAGGGCTTGTCATTGGCTTTTCACTCCCGTCCTTCCCTGCCTGAGGTGACACGGCACCGCAGCACGTCTCTCCTGTGCCGCCGGAAGAGTGCCAGGCCCGGGTCCCAAGGGGCCATCCTGCCTTGTGCCCAGTGGGTCATGGCCCACATTTCGAGAAACAGCAGGGAGAGACTCGCAGAGGTGCATGCGTCGGATCCAAAGGGGGCTCCCGGCTCCTGGCTCTACCCTGTTTGTGGAGCACTGCTGTGTGCTGCCACCTTGGGAGCCTGGGCAGTGGCCACTGTGCTGTCGGGAGGGCAGGCCCTGGTGCTTCAGTGTGGCACGTCCTGCCGCTCCCGCCCTCCTGCAGCACTGCCACTGTCTTCCAGAGGAGAGCTCAGCCGGCTCCTTGCCCCTGGTCAGCGTCTCCCTGTTCACCCCTCTGACCGCTGCCGAGATGGCCCCCTACATGAAGCGGCTTTCCCGGGGCCAAACGGTGGAGGGTGAGTCGAGCCCTGCTTCACCCACTCGAGGTCGGCGCCCTGGGTCCCATGTGGCTGCGGGTAGCAACCAGCAGCTCTCCCGGCACTGACTGGGGCGTGAGCACGGCCCATGCTGGGCTGTGGGTGGGTGGGCTGTTCCTCACGTTGGGGAGCACCCCAGAGAGGGCCTTAGAAACTCAGGGGCCCAGGGGAGCTGGAGGGTGCTGCTCTGCTTCAGACAGCAAAAGGCAGGGGAGCACCCTGAGGGGGTGGGAGTGTGGCAGGAAGAGGTCAGGCAGGTGGGCAGGACCAGCGGGTAGGCAGGACTGGTGGCCGCCTTCAGAGAAGAGCCAAGGCTGGGTGGCCCAGGTGGAGTCGGGCCGTGGGGCCACTTGATGCTAAGAGCACCCTGGATGTGGGGCTGCCGCAAGGGGTCAATCTCTTTCCTTGGAGACCACGAGTAGGGGCAGGGGCGGGCATTTGCGGAGCTTGGGGGCAGGGACGGGCATTTGCGGAGCTTGGGGGCAGGCATGGGCATTTGCGGAGCTTGGGGGCAGGGGCGGGCATTTGCAGAGCTTGGGGGCTTCACTGCTGCGGGTATCACTGGGCTCATGCTTTCCCGTGATTTCTGTCCTGTGGTGCTCGGGGCCTTGCCCCCTCTGGGTGGCTGGCTGGGGTGGGGTGGGCAGAGGTCTGCTTGGGCCCTTCAGCTCCGGCCTGGCCCTCTCTCTGTGTTAGATCTGCTGGAGGTTCTGAGTGACATAGACGAGATGTCCCGGCGGAGACCCGAGATCCTGGGCTTCTTCTCGGTGAGCTGGATGGGGCTGAGGAAGAGCTGGGAGGAGCCGATCCCTTGGAGAACCTCAGCAGGGCCACTGCCCCCAACAGGGTGTGCTCGCCCTGAGCCCCAGGGAGTCCTCTGAGGCCAGGCTTCGGGTGGGGCCCCAGCCCAGGCATTCACAGTCGAGCCGCTGCCAGGGCAGGCCCACCTTTAGCCCTGGGCTGGGACTGGCCAATGGCGCATGCGTCCTGCCTTTTGGATAGGAGCCTAGGGTCCCTGCTATTGCCATCGGCCATCAAGAGACCAAGAGGTGAAGGGGCCTCGATGGGGGCTGGACCCCCCGGTCACACACCTCCCACCTTTCCCCTGGTCAGACCAACCTGCAGCGGCTGATGAGCTCGGCCGAGGAGTCTTGCCGCAACCTGGCCTTCAGCCTGGCCCTGCGCTCCATCCAGAACAGCCCCAGGTGAGACCACCGCCGGCCTCTGTCCGCCGCCTCCACCGGGCCCTGCTAAACCAGGTCACTACTTGACCCACCTGGTGGCCAGACCAGGCTTCCAGGCTGGTCAGCTCGCCCTGTTGGGTGGGGGTCTGGCGTGGGCACAGGGCGGAGGTGCCCACTGAAGTGCGTGGCTCTTTCAGCATCGCAGCTGACTTCCTGCCCACATTCATGTACTGCCTGGGCAGCCAGGACTTTGAGGTGGTGCAAACGGCCCTCAGGAACCTGCCCGAGTACACTCTTCTGTGCCAAGGTGAGGACAGGTCCCCCGTCTGGGGCCCTGGCAGCCCCCAGGGAGGCCAGAGGCGCGTCTCCCGAGAGCTGGCTCTTGCAAGTCCCGAGGTCTGGTCACTGCGGCCAGGGTGTTTGTGGTCAGCGTGACGTGCGGGGCCCCGTCTCCCCCACAGAGCATGCGGCTGTGCTGCTGCACCGGGCCTTCCTGGTGGGCATGTACGGCCAGATGGACCCCAGCGCCCAGATCTCTGAGGCCCTGAGGATCCTGCATATGGAGGCCGTGATGTGAGCCTGTGGCAGCCGACCCCCTTCCAAGCCCCAGCTCGTCCCATCCCTGGGGATCCTCAAGGCGAAGCCCAGGGAGCACCGCCATTGCTGGTCTCCGAGGAGGTGAGGACGCCGAGCTCCGAGGCCAGGCAGGCCCAGGAATAATACTCCGAGCCCTGGGGTGGCTCTGGGCCGGCTGCTGGCATGGGGGGCCGTCCACCAAGCCCTCATTCACCTTCCGGGCCACAGCCCTGCGGCAGAGCGGTGGGCAGCGTGGCCCAGCATGTGCAGGATCCCACTGGGCATGGCCTGGGCTGGTTTTGAATGAAATGATCTGAACTCTCTGTGTCCTCTCTGGTGTCCCATGTCACCCTCTGGCCAGCTGGAGCCTCGAGGACCCTGGCCTTGGCTCCCCAGCCCTGCAGCGCAGGGAGTTGAGCAGGGTCCTGGGAGGTGGAGACCAAGGCCAGGCCAGGCTCTCCCTTGGGCCAGCAGTTCCCGCAGGTGTCGAGGGTCAGGGGACGCTGCCTGCTTGGCTGCCCCCACCATCACGGTCTCCCCGTCAGGTGCCGGCCCTGGGCCCTGCCTGGCCTCGAGTCCTCTGCTCACAGGGTTGGCCTCTGTTGAGTGAGTCCAGCCTTGTCAGGCTGTGTGGGGGACTGGCCCGGCAGACCGATCTCTCTCTCCTGCACTAAAAGGATCAACAAGGCCCTGAGAGCCTCAACTGTGGGTGTCCCCCTGTGGGAGCTGAGTGGGGGTCCCATTCCGGAAGAGTCCCAGTAGCCGGTGATGCTGCTCGTCCTGCCTTTCCCAGCACCCGCTCACAGGGGAGGGTCTGGGAGGGTCCTGGTGCATGCAGGGTGGAGCTTGGCGTGGGGCCCGTTTGCTGGCCCGGTTGGGGTTAGAGCTGCCCACCCCTCTGTCCTCACCGTAGTGGGGTCTTCCCAGCACACAGATGGGACCCGTGCTCTCCCGGTTCCCTATGAGTCCCCCCAGGTCAGCCCCGCCCCGGCCGCCCTCTGCCTGGGCCACTGTGGCTGAGAAGCTGACCCAGGCCCTTCTCTATGCCCAGGTAGTGCGAGGCCTCAAGGTTCTAGTGATGCCGTGGCCTTGGGGAATGCCCCGCGACAGCACCCAGCAAGGGGGCAGCCGGGCTCCAGGCCCACAGCCTCCCAGCCCAGCCCAGCCCCTGGCCTGCGCGCCCGCACCACCCGCCCAGGCCCCTGCGCCCTCCTGCCCACCCTCCCCGGACTCTTCCAGGCTGCACAGGTCCAGGGACCAGGTCCCGGGTGGGGTGAGCCAGTGCCGGGTCTAACACCAGACATGCCTGTCTGCAGCTGGCTCCTGTGGCTCCAGGGGACTGGGAGGCCTGTGGGCTGCCGAGCAGCCTCCATCCCAGCTGTGCGGGGCCATCCTCCTCCACCCTTGCCCTTAGTGCCTTGCTTTCAGGCCCCTGGTGCCAGCACCTCTGCCCTGGGTCCGAGTGTGTGTTAGGACTAGGGACAGGGACAGCAGTGAGGAGCACCCAACACAAGCCTGGGTGTGGGATGAGGCCCTTTCTGCTCTGCTGCTGGCTCTCCTACCTCTGCACAGATAAGGGACAGGGCTGAGATTTGAGCCCTAGGGCCCTGGAGCCATGGGCTGCCCCGGGGTGGGACCTGGGAGGCCCAGAGGCCCTGGGGCTGGGCTGAGCGGAAGCAGGGCCTGAGGTTTGTGCAGCGGAAAGGGGCCCGGGAGGCTCAGCAGATGCAGGGCAGGGATTTGGATGCCTCCCCGGCCCCGGGGGTGGGGTGTGGATGTAGGGAGGCATCCTCATAGGGGGTGGGTGTGTGCAGGCTGTGCGGGCTCAGGGGTCAAGGTCAGGGCCCGTGTCCACCCGAGTTTTAGAGGACAGAAGCGTGTTACGGCTTGGTGGGGACATGACCCAGTCTTATCTGAGACTGAGGATGGGCCCACCCAGCCCGCTGGCCCCCAGTGCCTGCTGTGTGCCCCACACCCAAACCCCAGCCTCCTGAGGGCCAGGCTCTCTCCCCCAGTCCTGGATGTGGGGCCTTTGCCAGTCCGCACCTTCGGGATCCCAACCCTTCTCCCCAGGTGCAGCACCTGAGCCACGTCACCGCGTCCCCTCCAGCCAGGCCCACCCTTTCCTGACGCTACACCCTCTATGGGCTCCTGAGGCACCTCCTCAAGGCTGGCTTCCCGCACCCCACAGTCCGGAGCCTCCTGCATCCCGCCAGCCTTTGGTCCTCTGCTCTCCTGACGTCCCTCCAGCCAAGGCCTGCCTGCCTCAGGGTCTGATCAGAGAAGGAGAGTGAGGTCCGAGCTCTGTGGGCTCAGAACCCAGTGCCTGGGTTGAGGGCAGGGAAAGGGAAGGATGCTGCTGCCAGGCCTGGAGGCCAGTGTGTGTGTCCCAGCTGGGTGCAAGCCTGGGCCCTTCACGGGGGTGCCTGTGTCTGGCTCAGAGCAGCCTGTGACCCGTAGAGCCCCAGGACATTGGCTGGGGTCGTGGACCAGGCACGGGGAAGGGGGATGGGGAGGGCACCGAGGGTGGGGCCCTGATCCTGAGGCCTGGGACCCTCTCTGGGCCTCTTGCTGCCTGGGCCTGTGTTCACTCCCACCCAGGAGGCAGCGGAGGTTAAGCTAAGCAGAGGCATCCAGGGGAAGTAGCTGGCCTGGCAGGTGGCAAGGGCTCAGGCTAGGGATATCGGCTCTGGTGTGTGTGCCGACTGGGGCTAGGATGTGCCAGGCGTGCCCGAGACCCCACCTACCCCAGGGTGCTGACCCCAGGGCTCAGGGACTTGGTGGCTCAAAATTGTGGCACCCGTGGGGCAAACTTAGCCCCCACCTGGCCAAGTGCTTCCATAATCTCTAGAGGGTGGCCTGGGCCTGTCCCCACCATAGAGGGAACCCCAGGGGGCGTGTCTGGCCTTGGCTGCAGGGGTGGACCGCAGGTTCTGTGTCCCAGAGGTGAGAGGCTTCTCCGATCTGTGCTGGGGAAGATAGGGAAGATGGCTGGGAGGGAAACCTGACCGCTCCTGGACAAAGAAATGAGTAGACTGGAATCTCTGCCTGCAGCAGGCGCCTGGCAGGGGCTGTGTGAGCAGAAGTGTGGGTGTTGGAATGATGGTGCCCACCCCAGGGTGGACAGGGGGCTGCGGGATGGACCAGGGAGCCCTGGGTCAGGCCATGATCCACACCTGGCCTCTGCCTCCCTCTGGTTCCCCAAGTTCCTCACCCCGGCCACTGGGCCCAGGGACCTCGGGAACCAGCCATGCGGGGCACCCAGTAGGACCCCTGCGCTGCTGGGTGGCTGCGGGCAGGTCCCAGGCCGTCTGTTCTGGAACAGCGGAGGATCTGGGATCAGCACCTTCCCACGTGGCTGTGACTGAGCCCCTCGTCCAGGGTCACCCCTGGAGCCCAGATGGCCCCAGGACTCAGAGAGTCCAGCCCAGACCCCACAGTTCCCTTCCTTCCAGGAGCATGTCCGAGCCAGGCCAGGCAGGGTGCCAGCCCCTCCTGGTGGTTCCTGGCAGTCCGGGGCTCGCTCCTCCAGGTGGGGATGGGGCGGGGCCAGGGGATGCCATAGTGACAAGCTCACCTGCTTCTTCAGTCTCAAAACAAGTGCTTCCGGGTTTCAGTTTCAGCTCTGGCTGAGGGGGGACCCTGACCTTCAAACAGGCCAAACAGGCCAGACGGTGGTGGCCACAGGGCTGAGTGTGGGCACCGGGGAGATGAGCGCCCTTGGCAGCAAGAGTGCAGGTCTCCCCATGAGGTGTCTCCCCCATTCACCCTGGGAGGCCCAGACAGTGGCCTGAAGTCACGTGGCAGGTAGGGTGCCAGGCAGGAGTTGCTTGGGGGGCCTGGGCCTCCCCCAGCTCCCTTCCTCAGAGCAACCCAGACCCCTGACCCAATTAGGCCCAGGCCTAGCCAGTGGTTGGGGTCATTCCAGGTGCTTCAGAAGAGGAGGGTGTGGCTGAGGCCTCCTCCGGGGACAGTGGCCCCTTCTGTCCTGGGAGGTGGCCTGTAGGAAGCTGAGGAGCATGGGCAGGCAGAACTAGACATCCCAGTTCTTTCCAAACCCCCTCACTGGGCCAGGCCCAAAAGGACACCCCATGCCAGGCCCTGCTGGGCTCACCGGGGACCCAGGGTTGGACCCCAGTAGGCCTGTGCCAGGGTGTGGTGGGCACCCTCTCTCTGCCTGAGGGTTAGGAAGGGCTCTTGGGGGAAGGCGGCATGGCGGGTGGGTCTGGAGCAGTGGGGAGGAGTTGGGCCCATCCACTTGCAATGGGGCACAGGGCTCTGGCTGACCACCAGCAGGGCAAGTGGAGGGGAGGGGCCGGGACCCACAGCTCTCTTTTCTCACTGGTGCCCTCCTGCTATGGAGTCAGGCCTGGAGAGGCCTGTAAGCCTCAGGGGGCACAGGGGGCAGGCCTGGAACACAGGGCTCCTCGGGCGCTCATCCCTCATCCTGTAGTAGAGAGACTGGGGCCCTGGGAGGGGAGGGAGCCGGGAGGCGGCCACACGCCGTCCCTAAGATGGAAAACGCAGAGACCTGGTGAGGGCGGCACTGACCACAGTACTCTGCACACCAGGCCACTGGTGGCGCCCTGGCTGTGGGGGACACAGGGTCCTTGGGGACACAGGGCCCGGGGGCCTCCAGAGCTGGGGTACGGTGGAGGGGCTGCTGCATCCCAAACACCCTTTAGGCCTCTTTCATCCCCAGTCAGCATTCCAGCCAGGACCCTGGAGGCCCTGTCCACAGAGTCCAGTCAGGTGGGCCATAGCCTGTGGCTGCAGGCCTGGGCAGGTGGGTGACACAAGGCAGGACCGACCCCAGGGTTCTGACGCCAGCTCCCTACCCGGACTGTGGCCTTGGACAAATTGCTGCCCCTCTCTGAGCTTGATTCCTTACCTGTGAAATGGGCATCAAGGTCATGCCTGAGACCGGGTGTGGCGGCTCATGCCTATAATCGTAGCACTTGGGGAGGCCTAATCCCAGCACCTGGGGAGGCCGAGGTGGGCAGATCAGCTGAAGTCAGGAGTTCAAGACCAGCCTGGCCAACATGGCAAAACCCCGTCTCTACTAAAAATGCAAAAATTAGCCGGGCATGGTGGTGTGTGCCTGTAATCCCAGCTACTCGGATGCTGACGTGGGAGAATCGCTTGAACCCGGGAAGCGGAGGCTGCAGTGAGTTGAGATCACCAAGATAGCGCCGCTGTACTCCAGCCTGGGTGAAAGAAAAAGACTTCGTCTCAGAAAACAAAAACAAGGCTGGGCATGGTGGCTCATGCCTGTAATCCCAGCACTTTGGGAGACTGAGGCAGGTGGATCACTTGAGGTCAGGAGTTTGAGACCAGCATGGCCAACATAGTGAAACCCCATCTCTACTAAAAATACAAAAATGAGCTGGGCGTGATGGTGTGTCTGTAATACCAGCGCTGTACTTGGGAGGCTGAGGCAGGAGAATCCCTTGAAACCTGGGAGGCAGAGGTCGCGATGAGCCAAGATCATGCCACTGCACTCCAGCCTGGGCAACAGAGAGACTCCGTCTCAAACAAATAAAAACAAAAAACTGCCTGAGACTCGGGGGCAGTGAACAACCTGTGTGACACACAGCAGGTGCCGAGGACCAGGCATCTGTGCTGTTATCTCTCTTCTCTGAACAGAGAGGTGCCATGATCCAGCCAAGGACACACAGCACTTAGAGGCAGGCTGGCTTCTCTGCCCCGGTCCTGCCACCCAGCGACACCCGTCAGCCCCCGTGCGAGCCTTGTGCTCCTCGAAGGTGGTGGGGCGGGGCTGGGCCCTGTTACAAGGGATTCCTATAAATGGCGTGGAAAGGATTAATAATGTATTTATAACACATCGTGGTGGTAGTCGAGAATGATCTATAAATGTGCAGTAAATGTTTTATAATGTTTTTGTAACCTGTTATAAATGATAAATGGCAGACCATAGATGCCGGATCAAATATTTATAACGCATTGTGCACGGTGTCGGGCTGCTACAGTTCAGGAAAGCCATTAATAATAAAGTGGATGGAAATGCACGAGTTACCGACATGCCCAGCAAAGCCATTTATAATGAAACGTAGAGTTTGGCTGTGGAAAGCAGCCCAGTGGCCCCAGCCGCAGCACCAGCCAGGCTCTCCTGGAGGCTGGGGAAGGAGCCGCATCGTGAATTATTTGTGAGGTGTTCAGACGAGAATGTATACTCCCCATAGCACACCATATAAATATGCTATTAATATACCCAAGGTGGCATGCATTATTCATGAAGCCTAATTAATTAATGGGTGGCCCCTTAAAATGGGGTGTCACAGCTTCCCGCTCCCTGTCCTGCCGGGGGCCGTAGGGATGCCGTTGGTTGACGGCAGCCTCTGGGGTGGGGAGGAGGGCGACGTCCCTTCCACGCTCTGCAGTGGGGCCGACGTGGTCCCCCACGACGTCCGCGGGGTCCTGTGGGCAAGTCAGTTTGGGAACCACTGTGCAGTGTGGCCTCTCGCCAGGGGAGAGGAGGTGCAGATCAGGCGATGAAGGCTCTGAGAAGTCCCGCGGGAAACGCCCCTCAGCCAGGACACCTCCCTTGGTTCTTTCTCTCACGCCCTCTGCATTCCCGAACCGCCCCCGCCTCCCGGACTCAAGGAGCCAGTTCCGTTCCAGCTTGGCCCAGCAGCCTTGGTCAGGTGACGTTCAGGGTTGAGTCCACACTGGTGGAAGGAGTCAACCCCTCATAAGCTCGCCCCACCCCTCCTGTTGTGGTGCTCGAGTCCCCACCTCTGCAGCCCCTCCGGACCCAGCAGCCAGCGCGTCCTCCAGGAGCTAAGCTAATGCAAGCCCAGGTGGATATTTTGAACTGAAATGAACGATGCCTCGGGCCGTGTCCTCCCTCGGTCCTCAGCATGGGCCCTGCCACCCTGATGGGCTGAGAGACCCCTTTCTCCCTGCCTCCATGTCTTTGAGGGGGTCAGAACACGTGGAGGCTGGAAGTGGGGAAACTGAGGTCATCTGGTCTGGAAGTCCTGTCCTGGACCAGGGTGGCCACGCAGGCAGGACACCAGCTGGGCTGACCTTCTCCCGGACCTCACCTGGTGTCAGAGTCAGGGCCGCTGCCTGAGAGGGCAGGCCAATCAGGGGGCCTTCTTTCCTCCCTCTTCTCTCCTCTCCCCTCCCCTCTCCTCCTCTCCTCTCAGAACCTGTTTTTTGAGCTGCAGAATCAATAGAACCACCTATTTTATAGATCATAAACAGGATCTTGTTCTGTCACCCAGGCTGGTGTGCAGTGACATGATCACAGCTCACTGCAGCCTCGACCTCTCAGCCTCCATCAATCCTCCTGCCTCAGCCTCCCAGAGAGCTGGGACTATAGGTGTGCACCACCACACCCGACTAATATTTTTGTATTTTTTGTCGAGGTGGGGTCTTGCTATTTTGCCCAGGCTGGTCTTGAACTCCTAGCCTCAAGCAAACCTCCCATTTCAGCCTCCCAAAGTGTTGGGATTACTGGCATGATCCCCTGCACCCAGCCCATCTTGGGTTTTAAACCCACAGCCAACCCACACCCATATATGTATGTGTGTACACACACACACACATTAATGTCTCTGTCACCGAGGCTCGAGTGCACTGGTGTGATCACAGCTCACTGCAGCCTCCTGTTCTCAAGTGATCCTCCTGCCTCAGCCTCCTGAGTAGCTGGGACTACAAGCATGAACCACCACACCTGGCCCAGAGTCAGTTTTTTAGGGGGTGGAGGGTGGGGACAGAGTCTTGCTCTATCACCCAGGCTGGAGTGCAGTGGTGCGATCTCAACTCACTACAACCTCCACCTCCCGGATTCAAGCGATTCTCCTGCCTCAGCCGCCCAGGTAGCTGGGACTACAGGCATGTGCCACCACGCCCAGGTAATTTTGTAGTAGAGACAAAATTTCACCATGTTGGCCAGGATGGTCTCAAACTCCTGACCTTGGGTGATCCTCCCACCTTAGCCTCCCAAAATGCTGGGATTACAGGCATGAGCCACCACACCTGGCCCAGAGCCACTTTTAAAGGGTGGCTAAGTATCAAATGAGAATGTAGGCATGGAAATCGGTGGCAAAGGTTGGAGTAGGGGCCTGGCTGGGCCCTGCTGCCTGCACCCCTTCCTCCCGCAGCCCCCGCGCCTCCTCCTGGTCCCCTGCACCAGCGACACCAGCCTACCTTCAAGTCTTCCTTCCTGCCGCAGGGCCTTTGCAACTCCTGTTCCCTTTGCCCTTTCCCCTTCCTCTCCAACAAAGTGATTCCTACTTAGCCTCCAGGTCTCAGTTCATGGTCCTTCCTAGGGAGATTCTTGCTCCATCTTCTCTCTCTCCTCTCCTCTCTCTTTCTCCCCTTTTTCTGTCTCTCTGTTGGTCTCAGGCTGAGGTCATCATCATTTCTAAAGGGCCTGAAGTCTGGGCTCCCATCTGGGTCCCCGTCCTGGGGTCTGTTGAGCTCACACCGCTCTTACCTGTTCCCCACCCCTGGGTACCTGATGCTGCATTTATTGTGTGCCTGGCCATGGGGTAATCCTTGGTGGAAGGGGGCTATGATGTCACTTCGCAGATGAGGAAACTGAGCCCAAGAGAAGGCAGTTTCCCGGTGAGGCCGGAAGGCAGCAGGTTCCCCGGGCAGAGGCTCCGTGTTGGATGGGGGAGGCGTGTGCAGACAGAGTCCACATGGCAGCCCTGGGGAGCACAGATGGGGACCCCGGGAGCCTTCGGTGACTCTGAGGGGCTTCAGGGTGGGGGTCTTGGAGGACGAGGAGGAGGGGTGGGTGCTGGGGGCCAGTGCGGGCGCGAAGCTCTGGGGTCAGTGTGGCTGGGTGCGGCCGGGGAGATGCGGCATGATAAGCCTGCTGAAGGTCTGATAAGCAACCTGGACTTTATTCGAAGGACAGCCTGGGAGGCTTCTGGCAGGGGAAGGGCTTGGTCAGGCCTTCTAGTAAGATCCCTCGGGCTGCTGGGGAGGGTGGACTCTGGTGGCCAGAGGGGCAGGAGGCAGCCCTGTGGGCAGAAGCGGGGGGACAGGTCTGGATAGGAGGGTGGCAGCCGTGGGCAGTGGGGAGAAGGGGCCATTTGTTTGGGGGTGTCCTGGCTGCTGGCTTCGGGGACCCTGGAGGGACGTGCTGTGTGAGGTGCTGGTGGGGAAATGCCACAAATGCTGCCTCCCAGCTCACTGGTGCCAGAGGGGGGCCGTGCAGGATGGGCCACGGGGTGACCAGTGAGATGGCTTTTTAAGTGTGCAGCAGTAAAAGTTCACGATGAAAGTGAAACTCAGGCCACCTCCCATGCCACTCCTTGTAAGGGACCTGGGCCCTAGTGCCTCTCCACCCCTGTGTCTCCCATCCCCCACTAACTCCCCCCTCCCACTACCCCGCTGCTTCTGCTTCTTGATCTTTCCCTTATTTTTCAGCTTTTCCGGTTCTCCTAACCGCTGCCCTGGGAGTCAAGAAAACCCGGTGCCAGGACCAGCTCCAGCTGTCCTGGCACGATATCCACAGGTCAGGGACTGTGGCGGAGCAGTGGTTAGGGCCAGCCACAATCCCAGGCCACAAGGGCTCTCTGCCTAGCAGCTGCTTGCATGCCCCTGGTGACGGGGAGCTCACCACCTACACACAGACCTCACTGACAGGCAGCCAGCCATGCATACTACGGTGTCTCACCAGGGCCCAGCCTCAGAAAGAGCTGGAACAGCACCAGTGGCGTGGATGGGGTTGGAAGACCTCAGTTTCTGCTCCTCCCAAGGGGCACGGAGAAGCTGCCCTGACTCCTTGCCAGGGGCTACTGCGGGAAAACACCTTCCTTCCTGCAGGCCCTGCCCGGACAAGCCCTGGCCCCACAGCCAGCAGGGTAGGGCCCCCTCACATGGCTGGTGTCAGTGATTCCGCCCTCGTCCAGTCCTGGCCACAGACAAGGTTCCCCAAGGAGAACGGGGCCAGGGGCCAGTCTGGGATAATTTAAGGCCCCACCAGAGGGACTTTCCTTATTGTGTCACATCTCAGAGTGGAAAATTGGGAACTACCCTGCAGGTCAGCCTGAGGAATCTCCTGCTCCAGGAATAGATCTTGCCCACAGGCCCCCAGAAGGAAAGCACAGGCCAGCTGTGCAACTCCGGCTCCATGGCCCCCTTCCTGACCTGTTTCTCCTCTGGCAATGCCCAGGCCTCACCTCTGCCTTGCCTGGAACCCCCGCTGGCATGTAGTGGCCTGGAAAGAGAAACCAGATGCGGACGTCGTTTGAAACCCTGACATACAGGGCGCCTCCTGCTCCCCGGGAGGCCGGGCTGCCCAGGGCTGAGGCCCCAGACAGGGCAGGGCTGTTCGAGCCTCAGTGTCCACATTTGTCAACCGGCCTTTCCTGCATCTTCTTCATGGTGGTGGGAGGTGGGGCGGCGAAAAGAAAGAAAATCCCAGGTCACCGCAGGGGTCCAGAACTCCAGGACCACCAAGCAGCCCGCGCCCCTTCCCCCGTTGGAGGTCTGGGCCAGCAGCGGCGGGGCGGGGCTTGGGTAGGGGTCAGGCGGCGGGGGGCGGGGCCTGTCTGGGGCGGGACCCGGCGGCGTGGGCGCGGGACTTACCAGGAGGCGGGACCTGCCCAGGGCGGGAGCCTGTGCCGGGGTCGGGCGGCGTGGGGACGGGGCCTATCAGGAGGCAAAACCTGGAGGCTGGGGGCGAGGCCTGTCAGGAGTCGGGGCCTGCCTGGAGCGGGAGCCTGTGTCGGGGCCAGAAGGCGTGGGGACGGGGCCCATCAGGAGGCAGGACCCGGCGGCTGGGGACGGGGCCTGTCGGGAGGCAGGACCTGGCGAGTGGGGGCGGGGCCTGCTGGGAGGTGGGGCCTGCCTGGGCGGGAGCCAATGCTGGGGCCGGGAGGTGTAAGGACGGGGCCTATGCGGAGGCAGGATTTGGCGGCTGGGGGCGGGGCCTATCAGGAGGCGGGGCCGACGGTGGCGGGGCCGGGCTCGGCTTCTCTCGGGACCGGGCGCTTGTCGCCCTCAGTCCGGCTCAGCTCGGGCTGGGTGCCGCGGGTCTGGC